CGCGTTTATACATCCGTCAACAATCGCAACAGAAAATAATATAAACTTATTTGAGAAGAAAACCGAAGTTCTTCAACGACTCCATCATACAAAAGACTCAGACGAAATTTTTGAGGATCTCATTTAATGTGGTCGTAACATCACTCTCTCCTTTACCCTTTCTTCTTCTTATTCTGAGAATCTCTAGAAGTCTCGGCACTCACATTTGGCTTACATGAGGAAGCAAAGAGCTGTTCACTTGCATCATTTTTATCTTTGCGGATAATATGAGGGACAGTAAATAAAGGTGGATTTACAGCATTCCACCCTCCATTTCTTTCTTTAACTTCTAAAAATTCTCGCACCTTTTTGTCAAAACCTCAGTTTTTTTACCCTCTTCAAATTTCATTTCGGACTTATGGCTGGATAAAGCAAAATGCAATATAAGGCATTTCTTTTGGCAGGCTACAGCTGGCTTTTTCAAGTTTTGAAATTATTTTTCCGATGGCACCATTTTCCACATTTAAACATCCTTAATCTCCTAAAACATCAATCGCCGAGCCGTTGGGGAGGCATCATTCGGCGGCTTTCTTCTTTTTATGAAGTGTTATTTTTTTCCGATCTGAGAGGGATTTGCGGAAATCATGATAATTCTCGTTTCTGTAGGCGCCCCAGGTTATACCCTGAAAAATCAAAGGTTTATTTCAAAGCTGTAAACGATCGTTTGTTCGGCAAAAAAATGTTCAATCAATCACGGTTTTGAGAGCTTGAAATTGCGCAATTCAATAGCGTTTAAAGAGTTCGTGTTTTACAACTTCGCAAATTTCGACAAAATTATTTCGAAAAATACTAGAGAGTCAGTTAAACAGGTCCAAGTAATTCGTCCCATTGCACTGTTTACAATATCCAATCGTTACCAAAGCTCCACCATAAGTCGGAAACAAAATTCTCAAAAATACCTAAAATTAGAATAGATTATGGTCCGGGTTTTTGGCGTTATTTGAACAATCATCAGAAGACTCGGAACAGAACCGTATTCCCTAAAAATTGAGGAAAAATTTTGCATCGGGCATTGTTTAGACCGTGTCCACCTTTATTCTGAGTGACACGAACTTTCGGGGACCTACTATATGGCATGTGGCATCAATTATCGAAGAGCTACAATGCCCACATAGTAAAAATGCGGAGCCACTAAAGTCATGAAAAATGTCTTTCAAGTGTAACTAAGCATTCAGGACCTAACACGTACATCGAGCTGTTGTTGACGCGAGCCCGCCACGATGTTTTCTTCTAATTAGTCAAGCAACAGCACTGACTAATTTGTGAGTTGCCAAATACAGAAAACTGACGTTTTGAGCCACATAGCTAAGAATTCTAGAGAAAACATCAGAAAAATGTGTGGGGAAAGTCACGCAGTAGATTGTCTCATCAGCTTTTTAATTCGCAAATTGAAAGTAATATTCGAAAAATGTGACCTACAAACACTCACTTGTGCATTGTGACCTATTGCCTTATACCACAGACTGCCGCATGCTTCTTCCAGTGAGATGTTCAGAGCCCTTACAAGGTTTATCAGCTGGTTACTCAAGCTCTTTTCTGAAATATACGATTCCAGCCCGTATGCACTTACATCCTTGAGGCGAGGGGAGCGGACCACGCTATGAAGGTGCCGCGTACGGATGCCGCTGCGGCTTCTTGGTCAAGTGCATAAGGGCCTTAGTTTGATCAGTAAGTCGTATGACCAACTTACAACTACGGTTGGTGCAATTACCACTTGCAAGAATGTTTAGCTTCCTAGACGATACAGATCGTAGATGTTTTGCATTCAGATCTCTCAATCAGCCACTCTCATTACTATAAAGAAGCATGTTAGGGCATAGAGGCTACGGTGTTGAAACATGTTGCCGTTTCGACATGCATATGCTCTGTACCGATATAATATAGTCATATATACATCAAACACTGATATCGTATAGTCATGTATACGTCAAACACTATCTTGCAGAGCTGCGCGTGATTCTGCTACACGGTTTTAGATCTGAAAAAATATTTATAAGAATTGCAATTTCTCAGCGTTACTATAACGTCCCTTGCCTCCTTTTGCCCTTATGTTTAGACACGTTCGCGCTTTGTTGTTTATGTATTCTTCATCATTGGAAATTATGGGCTTAGGTGCAGTAAATGTCGCCACAGTTTCCGGTGATTTCCAGCTACAATGTCTTGCATCGGAGAAACTTTGTCTTCTGACCACATTAATCTCTCTGTCATCACAAAATCCTCGTTGCGAACAATTCCAAAAAATATGGAGTAATGTGATATGCCTTCCATGCATCGAGCTTTTTTCACTGGACGAGTTCTTGGCAAAAGCTCTTCTGCATTTCATTAGATTTGTTGTTCATTCACTTGTCAGATTGTCATCACACACCAAACGGCTCCGGATGCAGCTAATGTTGAATTTATACGCGCTCGTGTGTCTGCGTTGACTGCATATGATAAACATGTGTTCAGTGAGACGACTCGGAATGAGAAGGTCTCCAGCTTTTATAAGGTAACAGTATGTAATAACAGTGAAACGAAATCTTTTTCGGCTGGAATCGTCTTCTTCATCCACCTTAATCATAGCATTGATAATTCTAAGTCTACACACCAAAGTCTGCTTCCTCCTTCTGTTGCTATCTGGGCTGGCCTTTTTGTCGTCACCATGGCCACCAATGCTGCGGAGAGAAGTTTAACATGATGACCGACTTTTCAGCTAACGTTTCCAATGATGCTTAACATCTGTTGTTGAATTTGTATTCTGCTACGCATTTACATCAATGACCTTTTGGCTGTCTATGAAAACCCGCACTAAAGGAAGCTAAAAATTCACTAAATTTTTTTTTCGTAGTCAGTATTCGTAAGTGCGGCTAGAAGCTTATCTATGCGTATGATGTTCTGCGCAATTGTTTAGCCAAGCGGCGTAAAATATCGAAACTACAGAGTGCTTCAGTGTTCGTCTGACCCAAATATTTACTCTATTCCGTCCCACTTACGCACCTTCTCAACATGGCTGACTCCATGAATGATTATTACTCTCCCTCTTCAGTATTGAATTTACACTTCCAGTTTCATTCGTCTTCACTCATATGTTATACTTTGATGTTGATCTTCCCAACAGCTTCGGAAATAACTATGCTCGCTCATTTGGATATATGTCATACTATGAAGTTGTTCGTTTCATATTCATCTTTTCTCCTGACTGCTAATACTTTTCTCTGATCTCCTTATTGATATGCAAGTTAATGCCGATTAATCAGACGAGACTACTGTCTTTGACTCGGTACTTTGAATAAAAGAGTCACACCTGTTTAAAAATCAAGTTTCTCCTTTCACTGCTTCAGTATATCCTTGAACGACAGCAAGAGGATTGTGTTTTCATGAGTACGTTTTGGCAAGCCTCAAATTCGCAATCGGCTAATCAAGTAGATGGGAGCAAATGTCTCTTTGGTGCTAATCTCAAAGGAGACCTCTGCCCCGACGAAGCACTTGTAGGCTTTCTAGTTATCGCTGAAGCCACAAGGCTGTATCTGCTTATCTTTCTGAGCTAAGCCGGCGGATTCGAGTGATCACCGCGTTTGGAGAAGTTGCATGCTAATTCCTGTCGCGCTACTCGGCCCGTGTCAGGCCAGCAGCAGCAGCTTCAGGCGGTGCTGAGGAGGGAGGCTCTCGACGTGTAGAGTGAAAAGGGGAGCGCAGAGCGAGAGCGCGTGTGCCTTTATTTGCGACCATGCTCTTAATAGAGCTCTCTTCTGGCCTACCCAGCGATGCCCATATCTAATTCATGTCGAATACTTGTTAGCGCGGCCGAAACGCCGCCGCCGATCTGCCATTTCTCCATCGCACGGGCTTCGCGACCTCACGCGCTCACTCAAAACCTTTCTCGCCTCAATTTAACCTTCTTTGTACTACCTGCAAACTTCGTCGTTCGAGAACACGTTCGTTTTTTACTCTTACTGTTGCATAGTCACGTCTAGCCGTGATGGTCTGCTTTGTAAAATTGTGTCCTAATTCACATTTTGCTCAATAATTCCTGCTTCTTTGAAAATGCATTGACCATTAAAGTCCAAAGCATCGCAATTATGATCTCAACTTTCTTCACACAATCAAAAAGATTGTTTATATTTGCGTTTTAAGTACTCTGTTCTTGCTTAATAGTATATGCGAAAAACTGCTTTCGATTGCATTCAGTAATTGCCTGGTTGCAATGCTCGTTGCTTCTCTGAATCATAACATTTGTATATTGAGCACTATTGCTCTAATGAAGCTCTTGCTGTTCTCAAAGTATGTTTCTTTGGCAAGTAAAGACGATTTTGTTTGATTCGCATTCTCACTCTTTTTTGACTGTCATCCTTAAACCTTTCTCGTAGTAGTATTATAAACTTCTTTTTTAATCTCGGTTCCCCCACATCTGTGCCCACCTTCACCGCATATTTTTTAAAATCTATCTCTGATGTGCTTCCTTTTCCAAGTGACCTTTTTTCTGTGTTCTCAGTCACTTGCTGAGGATAATTGCCGCATTTTGAAATTGAGTATTTTTTGATGAATCTGCGTAGTACTCTTACAAGAAAATCAGCCTATTATGTGAGGTATGTTTCTCCCACAAGGGGAGCATCTTTCAGTGAAAGTGCAGAGAAACTATGAAGGGTTTGCATTAGCGAAAGTGACTGCTGCAACAGTATAGCGCAATTTGATAGGAAGTTCGTATGCAATCCATAACGAGTAGCGTAGGGTGCTCCTAGTAATGTGCAGAAGGATGTTGGGTGGGTGTACAGCTCAATGAAGTGGGTAAGAGCTAGAGCCCGAGCTAGCGCGGGGGGCGACGAGTACGGGGAGTGAGGTGCGTGGTGTGAACGCGGCGGCCGCGCGCCCCTGCTCCTCGTCTCGCTCTCCTCCTTCCCGTCGCGTCTGCCCGCCCCTTCTGCCCTCCGTGTTCCTCCTACCAACCGCTGCCGGAGTTCAATTAACAAATGTTCGCCTTATAGATACGAACCCTTGCCCACTGAGCGCTGAGCCGACGACGCCACTACTGCCCGTCGAGCGACCGCAGAACATTCACGGCATTATCGCCAGTTAGTTTGTCAAAATATAATTTTTGTTTTTTTCTTCTGTGCCTAATATGTCAAAACTCCTTTTGTAAATAGTTTACAGGTCTATCCACTGGCAAGCAATTTTTGAATATGTCAAACCTTGAGATTTTTTTACACTTATTGGCATTTTGGGATTACCTTTGTACACGTTGACCAGTGTTGGCTTTTTTGCGTCACAGTTGATTAGTGGTCATTCTTTACCTATTTTTGTTTTTTATCCTTACATTTGATCATTGGTATATTGACAAGATTGAAGAAGCCCAACCAGTTTAATATTTTACGTTAAGGACTAGTGTGGCCACAAGGAGCCAAGAGTACTCATAGCTACCCGCCCCCTGCATTACTCATCGACTTGACTGTACTCAAGGTTTTTGAATTGCGAAAATTCACGCATTGCAGTGTCATCGGCGAGGAACATGAACGGACCAGCCGGCGCACGGCCGTTAGTTGCATTGTTGGACGGTCGCGACTGCACGATCGAGATGCCTCTGCTGAAGGATGTGGCTACGGTTGCGTTCTGTGATGCGCAATCCACACACGAGATCCACGAGAAAGTCAGTTCACTTGAGAGTTGTTCGCTTTCGCGCTGTCTCACCAGCGTAATCACGCGTTTGGTACGAGCGCGGCGCATGAACACACACACGCCAAGGAGGGTGGTCGCGCAATATGTGGCATACGGCGAAATGTGATTCTGGACTCATCGCTCGACATCGGGGTCATGTTTCGGCGCGCCTTTTCGCCGCGTTCCCCATGCCCCTCTGTCATTGATTTTCTTCCGCGTTGCGCGAATTATTCACGCGAATCACTCTGATACCCACAATAAGTCGCAGCACTCGTAATGAGCAGTAGCTGCGTGGTGACGCGGCCGCGATCATCCGCCGCCGCTCCGGTCGCGACGGACAGATGGTCCTCGCGACGATTGCCGTCGAACACCTGCACTCGTCAGACACATGCGCACGCCATCCCCGACCTATCACTGCCCATTTCGATATGAAACAGAGCGTGCAATGCGTGGCTCATTTAATATTCTCTGCATGGCAATATACCAGCCGCATAATTGGCTAATGATTACTCGCAAGTGGAAACGGGTTTGCAGCTAAAGTCTAATGATTCAGGTACTGAATGAGGCAGTGGCGGCGCTTATGTACCACTCAATCAAACTCGAGAAGGAGGACTTGGAGAAGTTCAAAGCATTGCGGGTAGTGGTGAAGATCGGCTATGGCTTCGACAACATCGATGTCAAAGCGGCTACAGAGTTAGGTGAGGATCATGACTACGATCATGAGTGAATCGTTCGCACATGAATGTAAAAGTTGTTTATCCAATATTTGACTGGAGGAGGGACGTGTGTATGCATTGCGAGGAGATCGCGCTTCCCTATTGACTAAGTAATAAATGCCCGAGGCCAGCTAGCCCAGTAGAGCGCCTCTCTGCAGAAATGGACGCAAATGCTATTTGAGGTTTGGGCATATCCTGTGAGACGCATTGTTTACTTCGAGATTCGCAACAATCGCTAAGAGCCTTCACTCGAAACGTTGCGAGCTGCAAGTGCAAGATGGGGACAGCTATGAATGCCTCTCCAGTCGCCGTTCAACCTATCTGGCGACAAGTTAAAGAGTTTTTTTTTGTTAGAAAACCGCTCATATCAAACTTATATTACTAGAAGATAGTCTTTCGATGTCTTACTTAAAAGCCATACAGTTTTGTGCGCGTTAAACAAAGCTCCAAATTGCATATTCGAGGTGAGGAGAAATGGAAACAGCAAGGTATATGGTCTTTTACCGGTTTCCAGTAAGAATCATAGATCACTTGACTTCATCTGCAAGAAGTATTGTCCCAAAGTTTGAATCATGGAGTTTTTGTTGTTGGTCCATACAATTAAAGAGACATGACAAGCGTGTAAATGGTAATATATCCAAGAAGTTGACTTGACTTCTCCGTATATCCAAACATTTCTGGTGGCAGTACAACAGATGTTTTTCTGCTTCTTACTTCACGCCTCAGGCATATTTTATGGTTGCAGCAGGCTGCTTCATATGCTGAGAGTTCGTGCAACTGGCTGATTTTAGGTATCGCAGTATGCCATACTCCTGGGGACTGCATCGAAGAAATAGCCGACTTCACAATGTCTCTTATCTTAAACCTCTACAGGAGGACGTACTGGCTCGCGAAAGCCGTGAGCGAGGGTAAGAAGGTGAGTCTGAGCTTTCCATTTACCGTACCACATTTATCTGGATGATCTAAGGTTGTCGGGGCTGAGCACGTACGAGAAGTCGCTGGCGGCAGCAAACGCATGCGTGGCGACGTTCTTGGTATCATCGGAATGGGGCGCGTGGGAACGGCCGTGGCTCTTCGCGCCCGCTCATTCGGAATGAATATCGCCTTCTACGATCCGTTTGTGCCTGATGGTTACGAAAAGGCATTAGGCGTCGAGAGGTATCACATTGCTCTTTGAGTTTGAAAATCCTTAGGTTGTTTCTTTTGCTGAGTTGTCCTATATAGTATACCAAACTGCTATCATAGTGTCCATCTAAAATGCACTTAGGTGTTACGCACTGGATGATTTGTTGATGAAGAGCGACACAATTTCCTTGCATTGCCTGTTGACCGACGAAACTCGCCACATCATCAACGAACAGACGCTAAAGCAATGTCGACCCGGTGTATTCATTATCAACACAAGTCGAGGAGGACTCGTTGATGAGGTAAATTTATGATTCAAGGAATTATTTGTTGGTGCTTTTTCTTGAACATATGAAAATGGCTGATCGCTCAAATATAATACGTACTTTCTCACCATAGTGATCGAAACGTTGCTGAGTGAGATACACTATGACAACAACGATATTACTCTGTTCTGAACGATGCTGATTCATTGGAATCGATGTTATTTGATTAACATCGCCTATTTAAATAATGATGTTATTTATTTACACACATACAATTCTCGGTGACTCTTTTTAGATAGTAATGTTTGTCTGCTTCTAGAGGAACAGTTTCAAAGTTCATTTACGTGAAAATTCGTTAAATCCTGAAGTTTCAGAGGGCTTCTGTCGCGTATTGTCTCCTCTGATTATCACGAAATTCTCTAAAAAGCTGGGGAATGTGTTTACTAGTCAATTCATTTGGGGCACATTTTGGAGCTCGAACAGTCGCATAAGCGATGGAAAGTGAGCGTTTTTAGATTGACCCCCCTTTTGAAGTATCTTTGGGTAATTTTCCTCGAGTTTTTTGCTTACCATAAGGAACAGTTTACAAATGTCATACAAAATAATTTAGTTTCTCGATTGCATTAGTAGAGTGTAAACATCAAGGGCTGATGTGAATTTTTTCTTATTATACTTGATAGAAGTCTGATAGATGTTTTTGATCCTACAAGGGGAATGTTACAAGCTGGGCGAAACTCGCTTTGAATTCACTGTTGTGTGTGGATTTCAATATCACTTATTTCAGACTGACCTTGCCAACTACCTAAAATCGGGACATGTCAGAGGTGCTGCTCTCGACGTACACGAACAAGAGCCCTATGAAGGGAACGTGATGAGTAAGCTGCATTCACATATTACTTTTTTACAACAAATCACCTGAATTGCTCACTGTAATTGCATCGTGGCTTTTTTTGCACGTTCGTCGATTTGAGCTTTCGCAACCAAAATTTGCAGTTCTTCTGTAATCTCGCGTCGACCGTTAGAATCGAAAGACCTTCGCAACATATACTTCCAGACAGCAATTAGAAGCTATATTCTTGAATGCTGCATGATAAGCGCGATGGCGACGATCGTAATAGAACTTATAATATATAGATAATAGATCATAGTGCGCAATTTGCCAGACTGTCCACACTGCCGAGTATAGGCTGTAACAAAGAAATGTTAGGTTGCTCATCTGTTCGAGATTATTTTGCATTTCAGATCCACTTTCCCAGTGCCCAAATGTGATACACACACCTCATGCCTCTTGGTTCTCGGACAGTTCATGTAAGGAACTTAGAGTGAATGCTGCAAAAGAGGTAGTTGATCCGCAAGACTAAATGTAGTAGCGATGAATGTTGTTTACGTTGCAAATCGCTCACGCTTCAGGTTCGCCGAGCCATCCTGAATCGATTTCCGAATGATTTGCTCAACTGCGTGAATAAGGAGCAGCTCCTAGCGAATGGTGGAGGTGCTCGAAGGGCATTAGCAGCTGCCGCCGCTGCAGCCGCCAGTCAGCCCGGACCAAGCAGTTACAATCCACTAGTGGGAATGCAAAATTTCGGTATGTATCTGACTCATAGACTTTCGACCCATCGAACTTAGATCTTGATAATTTGGGGTTAGTGAAAAACGACATCTCTTGCGGAAACCATCCAAAATTTGTAATTTCCAAAGCATCGAAAGTTATCTGAAGAACGTAAACCCAAACGATTGCAAGGCATAGTTTGAATCTGTTACCAGCCTCAAGAGTTACCAATTTTTCGCCTTTTGCCCTCCCCCCCCCCTCCTCCGCGGACAGATCTATCACAGAGTTGGATCCCGGTACTCTATCGCGGAGGAGTTGTATTCAAGATATGTGCTCAAGAACCAGAAAGGGGGAGAGAGAGTTCATGCTAAGCGCTAGTAAAGAGGGTAGCGTTTTGATTGAGTCATTGGCAACCTTTAGAAGAACTGTTCGACAATTTCAAAACTTCTTAGAACAGGGTGGCATAGGCAGCGCACGTTATTGTTCATTTCTCCGCACTTTTCGACAAAATTCACCTATCATAGCCAACCGAAGGCTCTAGGCTATGAGACTAAATCCAGGCAGCTATGTACCGCAAACTCTGAATAAGCTGAAAATGAATAGCGTACATGAATCCACTACAAGGATGCTCGCTGACAGAAGAGTGAGAAGGTCAGTAACCTTTTTTAAACATCTGGGTAGTCTGCCAAAACAATCTTCCCTAAAGCGCTGCATCACTTCTTCTTGGAAGTTGCATCGCTGCATCGCTACTTCTTCCAATTTACCAAATTCACTGCTAGGGATGTAGGAATTGATGCTAAGAGTAGCACTGCATGAGAGAATACTAGATAGATTGAAGCTGAAGATTATGACGGTTGATTGATTCGTGATTTACTTGATTCTCGTTATCGTGACTTTTATAGGTTTCAACGGGTTGCCACAAATGGGTCAGATGGGAGCGTTCCCGTACGGTAATCCACTTCTGGCGATGGGTGGCATGAACTTGAATCCGCTGTTGATGACTCCAAACTCGGCGGCTCTCGCTCAGTTTGCCAACCCTGCAGCTGCTCTCTCAACGCTCGCTGCGCAAACGTCTCAAGCACCGGTTGTGAACGTCGGCTCTCCAGCTCTCAACGCAACTCCGAGTCCCAACGCGACATCCGGAAAGTTGGCCAGTCCCCAAAATGGAGGTATCACACCTCCGTCGCCATCAAATGCTGAAGTGAGAGAAAATTGATGTGTATGTCTGGCGGAAGTCTATGCATTATGTTCAGGTGCCAGTGTCGTTGTCTGCGAACTTGCCTGCTGCCACGGGCGCTTCCGGAGAGGAGATCCGCCTGAAAACCGAGAAGGAAGAGCCTGTCGAGGTTAACGGGCAAGGCGAAAACGAGCTGAATGGTACCAACAACGACGAGTAGTACTAGGCAGAGCACGCCTCATGCCCTCCCCTTTTCATGTATGAATTCATATACAAATTTCCGAGTCCAGCATTTCAAGTGATTGCACACTACAACGCCGGTTACCTGTCTTTTTCCCTCTATACTTTGATGTATATGTGCGTGGCCGGACTCATCGTTCGGGAACGAGTCGTAAAGAGTTTGCCACGAAATGATCTCCATTCTCGGCGCTAGTCTTCTATATGCCTCCTTTCATCCATAAGTTTTTACTTGTTCCACTTATTGCCGTTCAAATGTTTTTTCTCTTCCAATATTTGTCTGTGTTTTTTTCGTGTTCTCATCGAATCGAATTTTCGTTCATTTTTTTCCTCGCACTGCAGCTTTAAAGTGTATCTACCAGGTGAGATGCAATTTGTTGTTTTTGACGACTCCGTTGAACCACATTGTGACGGTCCAGTTAATTTTTTATTCACTTTGTTTTTCTTCCATTGTTTTGAAGTGAATAATTCGGTGAAAATGAAACGTTGGCTTATCCAGCGTTCACATTATTACTATAGTGAGGATGTTATAATCGTTGCAAGTGTCATCGTAATTGATTTTTGTTCTCCATGGAAAACATTCTGTTTGTGGAAGTTTTGAGCTTCCCTTGCCATGCAGAAATAGGTAGGATATATGAGGTTGTCATCAGTGGTTGTACTTGGGTGAATCCTACTTATCGAGGGATTGTCAATGAATAGGTATGACATTCGATCGGCATAATAAAATATTCTTGAAAGGCTCGCATGTTTTATGGCGTTGTGTATTTTCCTAGTAACTCTGATTGTAAGCAATATGGATTCTCATTAAAGTTGACCTGAAAAGCCAGATGCTGAAGTCAAATGTCGAACGTTTACTCACGTCATCCCAAGATGTCATTTTGCATATTAGTATTTATTCGAAATGCGTTTGTCAGTACAAGAAAGATTTATATTTGTGCCTTCAATGCTTTTCTCACATGAAGAAAAGCAGGTGCAGCATTTCAGAAGTAATAGGACAGTGAAAAGGTAGTTCTTTCCATGCTCTGAGCATGAACACGTAGACTTGTTTACACGTTTTGCTTCTGCTCCTGTATATCTATAGTCGTCAACCATTCTGTGATTCGATTTGTGAGGTTGTCAGGACCAGCGGCTGCCGCACAGGACTCTTCCATTGCCATCGCTACATTTCGTGACGATAAACATGTCCGTTCCTGAGTCATATCCGTTGCAAGATCTGAATAACTCATGAATTAGGACCTCTTGGGGAGAATTACCATCAAGTGAGCCAAGAGATTCTATTTTTTTGCAAACTGCGGAGAAGAAGTGACGCTTAGAGGGTAGAGCAGTAGTGTAGAGAGCAATACCTGACAGACTTTTCGTGCCTCTGAGTGAATTCGATTTGACTTCGAAAGCATCCGGCAGCGACGATTGCGAGCAGCTTTTTACATCAACATCGAGCCGATCCGAGTTCTAGAAAAAGGGATCGGATTTTCAATATGAATGCGATTTGCTTTTTACATTGCTCATACTACTAAGTCGTTACATAAGTTTTGTTACAATTTAAGTCTACTGGAAAACTCTTTGAATCTCCTGCAAAGTCTCATATTGGCCACGTATAAGAAAGAGACAAAGGGCCATCTATCGCATCAGTACTACGCTTACTTATTGTTAGAACATTAGTTACACTAAATATGAAGACAATTCTGTAAAGACTCTTCAACCACTATTTTTGTTTTCTTTACCTTTTGAAAGTTGCCAGCATTCTTTTCCATTTTTTTTTTGATTTTTCAGATTTCAGGGTGTGCTGGTACTAACTATGAAGGCAGAAAGTTCAATCGATTCATTAACTCGTGCTGGATATTCGCAAAAAAATAATTCAAAAAAGCTACATTCTAGAATGTCAAAATGCATATTTCACGTACGACATGTATATATCAACAAGCTACAAATCTTCATGATTAGAAAGATCTTTCGAGAAAGTCATGAAGATCTTTTCCGCCTTCTATAACAAAACCTATATCGACCTAATAAGTTTAGCAAATGTGATTGCGAAATCGTAAACGTTCCGTATTGTTTCTTATCTAAGCCAAAGCTGCTTAATGAACACCGATGCTATTCTTGATTTTAAATAAATTGGGATCATAGTCCTAATCGTAAGCCATGTTGTATTGATTCTCCCTTAACAGTCAAATGAGTTTGGAAGAATACTATGGTGCAGTAACTACCCTAATTTCACGCGTACAAGATGCGCGTGATTTTTCTCCAAAGTCCAGACACGCCAAAGGACTTTGCAGCCAAATGACCCTATAACATGCGGTATATTGCGAAAGAATCGTACGGTTCAAGGGTCTCGAAACGAAATACAGTTAAGCGGCTGAGCGGTTTGAGAAATCAAAAACGGTGCGCGTTGTATGCGTGAAACTAGACTTATTCTGCTAGTCAGTCAGATCAAAGAACAGTTTTCAAAGATGAAGAACTCTCCTGGGAAAAGAGAGAAGAAGAAAACGTGTGGCTAGTTGCAAAGTCTAAACTCGCAAGAGACAAAAGAATGAGTGTGGAAGATCTACGACAATTAGCAAAATTTCTGAAAGACAAACTCACTTGCACTTGCACGTGTATAGACCAATATGACGACAACAGGCTTGGTTTTGAGGCGCTTTGATGGATATTCAGTAAGTCTCCTTTTTGAATATACATGACGACTTTTGATACATGAACGCTGAATACAAATTTACGGTCATAAGGTGTGTGTAAAAACGTGACTAGTGTTATTTTTCGGAACTGAGAATAGAAACAAAACGCTCAAACATTTGCATATTAAAACTGTTATCTCCCAGGAATCGATGCATGTATCACAGTATAGGATAGTCATAGTACTTTTATTTTGTATAAACAGACAGCTTCATTTGAACAGTCGCTTCGTATGACTGCACTACTTAATTTGCACAGACAGAACGAGGTTGTCAAAGATTTTTGACCAATGCGGTTTGTGAGGTACCTTTTGTCGAATCCCGCAGTATATTTGAGCACTTTACGACCATCAGTTTGCAAGCTCAGGGTTCCTTCATACCGCGCCGCAGCCGCCGCCAGCCGCCAGCAACCCGTAGTCGCCGCCAGCAGCCGTCAGCAGCTCCTAGCCGCCGCTAGCCGCTTTTGTTATCATAGGGGCGCAAAGTCGTCAGTTTTTACTTGCTGCATGCATCCGCCTACGCTGTTCAGCCCATTCCTTTTCCTTCCTGATTCCGCTAATGTGCAGTCCGACACCTACACATCGCATGTGCGCTCATTATTGTCATTATCTCGGTGCCGTAGATAGGATATGACATCAGTGCCCATAATCCCTTATTGCAGTCTGTATTGTCTAAAGTGATTCTGAGTGACTGGATTACTCCTTCAAATTTGGGTGCGCTTGCAGTCTTTCTTGCATGCTTTGCTTCCTTGATCTTTGACATAGAATTTTGTTGTATGCCTTTTACATGGTAAATAGCATACGTCCAGTTGTATCAGCATAGATTTCCCATTCAGTCATCGCATGTTCTGGATTACACCTTTACTTGTTGTGATCCATCGTTGGTTCGTCACCGATTGCGCATCATTTAGTCAAATTCCTCTGCACTTTATTTGGAGCGGTGCCAACGAGAAGGAAACGCGAACAAACGCTGGTGAAATTACAAAATAGCTGAGACTGCAATGGAAGTTGAGTTTATAGCATGTCCTATCTACGGCACCAAGATTATGACAGCAATGAGCACACATGCGATGTGTGAGAGTTGAACTGCACATTAGCGGAAACAGGAAGGAAGAAGAATGGAAGATGAAAAGCGTAGGCGGATGCACGCAGCGCAGTAAAACTACTGGTGATTTCGTGCTCCTATGACAACAATAGCGGCCGGCAGTGGCTACGGGTTGCTTACGGCTGGCGGCGGCTACAGGCTGCTAGCGGCGGCTGCCGGCGCGTTGTGAAGGCACATACAAAGCTAACTTTTTGCCATCTAGACGGATTTGCTTCTAATTTACTTTATTGGAAAGGAGAAATCTTCCTCTTTGGAGTCGGTGTCTCGATGAGCTTCTACTATAAATTTATTGCAGAGATAAAAATGGAAAAAAGACCACTTGTTTGACCATTTTAAGACAGGTCACCAAAAATATGGAACGCTACAGAAAGATCTGAAATTGTCAGTACATAAGTTTTATGACGTTCTTTGCATTTGAGAAGAAATTGTGCTGTTTGGACGTCTTTGTGAAAAGTTATAATTTTCTAGTTTACAGCAGAAAACGCCAGTATTGATTATTTTATGATTTTTCTCGAAAATCATAACTTTTCATTGAAACGTCCAGATAGCACAATTTTTTCTCGGGTGCAAAGAGTAGATCATAAAACTTATATACTGATAATTCCAGATATTTCTGCGGCGTTTCAGAATTCTGCGACCTAACTTAAATGGTCAAAGCTCAAGTGGTCCTCTTTTTCCACTTTTATATCTGCAATGAATGTATAGTTGAAGTTCCAGGAAGTACTTCCACAGTAAGGAAGACTTCCTCTCTCTATTGAACTTAGAAAGAAGTAAATCCGCTAAGACAAAAAAAAAACCACAAATTTTCAAAAATGTACCACCGAACTTTCGGGACTACCTAATATTTCGCAAAAAAACCCTCGAGATGTACTTTCCATCCCAAACGCAAGTGGAAAAGCTTGCTATGGCAGGAAAAAAGTCATTTAATCAGGAATTCAAAGTCTTAGACGTAAGAGAATCCGATGCTACATATACAAGTCTCACTAAGCTAAAAACAATCAAAATCGGCGTGAAAGGAGTAAAGAAGACTTGGCAAAATCTAATAAAGTCAGTGAGCAAATTTCTTTGGTAGAATTTTACATCACTATTCGCAAACGCTCAAAAGCGTTCAAGACAGCATTGAAATATTTCTAGCTCAGAGACAAGAAGAGCTACACAGGGAAGCTGCTGTTGCCAGCGTAACCAAATTTGCTCGGTTCGTCTTTTTTCGGACCATGGCAATGGCAATTTACTTAGTGCTCGAGGGACCGGAAGCGAAAAAAAAAACCGAATATCAATGAGATTTGTACGAAAAATGATGCTTCACAAATCCTACTCAACATCAGATACTGCTAATCGTAAGTAGCAAATCGTCAAACAATTTGAGAAATTTGTACACCATCAGATTTTCTGAATGATTCTCGCTTCAAATGTGCTTTCTTTCAATAACTCATTTAGATTCGATATAATACACTCTCCTTCTTATGAAGTAATCTCATGACGGTAGAGAAGAGAATTTCGCGAAGACACAAGTGTGTTGACAATTATAGTAATGCAAGTTAAGATGTGATGATAAGGGGGTAAGGAGTTGTTGGAATAACTGAAACTTCAATTAGTTCTAGCCCGTACAATCCCAGAACTAGCTGACTACAAACTAAAATTTTGGCCTGGCAATTTTTGTCTAACAAAACATAAGAATGGCAATTTTATTGAGTGCTCAAAGGAGACTGGAAGAAAAAGTCGAATATCAACAGGTCATTTCCTACGAAAATCGATGCGCCACAATTCGCACACGACATCAAGTGTTGCTTAGTAGTATAGTACGAGATCTTTGTAGTGTACTGCTTCTGAATAATTTTTAAGCAAATTTGCGAGTAATACTCGGATCTACGACAGTGATGACATTGCTTTACTCACTTACAGCTATTTATGTTGAGGGAGCACCACACATTAATTATTTCGTCCAAGAGCCGATTGGCTTTGAAAGGAAAAATAATTTTAACGCTTTTAGAACGGATCGGCAAGAACTGAGAGGCTGCGGCCTCCCTACGCTCCGCGCTTGAAACACGATGATGCATGTCGACGTCATATTCTTTCCCCATTGTGAATAATTAAGGGGGATTTTTCGCAGCTTTCGTTGGGCGCAGCAAACATTTGAAGCTTTCATTAAGAGAAAAGTTTTGATGTATCCAAAAAATCCAGATTAATGTGTATGCATTATCAACTCAACGAAAGGAGCATGAACTTTTACACCGAGACTAGAAGGCGGCTTCGTTATGGTCTTCAAGTGGTTGTCTCCCATTAAGGATAAGCAGGAATATAGTTAAGGAGGAGTGCATGATATGCTGCCTCGAGTGAGTAGATGTAGCGACTATGAAGCCTTGTGCAGACACGATTTTGCAGAATCCTATTAGCCGATTTATTGTTGTTGCATGAAGAGGAATCGCTGGGTTTAGTGACACCTGCTATTAAGATAGTCCTTGTAGGAAATGCCAATGGAATTGGTGACGCAGCATTTGAGGAATGAGGCACGTAAAATGCTTGGATGTCAGTGGCGCTAGTGTGCCCTTTGATCAGAGTCATCGAAAAATATTCGCTTTGCTGCATATTCGAAGGACGAAAAGGCATCAGCTCAACTTTGGATTGCGCAAACGTGTCACTGAGCGAGGATAACCACACTATTGAGAATTTCTGCCGAGCTGCACATCAGCGAAGGACGTAGGCGTAGCCGGCAATATCGATCTCGTCGCTTTATCTGTAGAGCACTTGCCCAGGCGGCTAGGCTCTATTCATTTCATTCAGGAAACTTGCTGCCCGTACTCGGTTGCTCACAGCTTTTGGGTTTTACATGTACTGATGCTTGGTCTAGCGAAGAGGTGGGAATCGGCTAGCACACTCCCAAGTACTCAGGCAGTCGGAGGAGGCGGGCACAAGAAAAGCGCGTTGCTGACTTTTCGCATCCGCGGTAGTCTTCCAGAAAACCCTCCACGAATACTGCGATGCCCTTGGCTGTTTCTTTTCGCGATTTTTGCAGATTTTCCGCTGTTTAATCGGCGAAGCAATATATCAAAGCAGTCTCACAAAAACTCGTAGCCCTCTAAAATACACCGAGGTGCGAAAATTATTCACCTCCTTCACCTACCTTGTCTTTCCCCGATGGTCGGAGTATTTGACAATGAATTTAATTATTCTTGTGAAACTACCGAAATTGCCTGAAATCGGTAAAGAGATAAATCTTGTGCAGCCAACACTTCCAAGTCTACGCGCTCTTTCTCGCCTTAGTATTTCAAACGATAAAGGCAAGGTATTGCATAGCAAGCAAACTTGAATCGATTCACAATGCGCCTGAATTCGTAGTTTCGCTGGGCTCTGGGATGCAGGAACGAGAATACATTTTTTAGTATCTTTCTTTTTTCCAAGCCATAAAAGAATACATTCAGTGAAGTTTTTGGCAGATTGATTAACAAAATGCAGGATTTGATGTGCACGCATGTTGTGTGCAATCTCATATTATCAAAGGAGGGAAGACTCGAATATAATTTCAAGTGAGTGGAAAACCATGAACAAATGGCCATTTGACTCGTAATATTATGGAAGTTTAGTAATCTGATTCTGAAGTCGAATAATTGCCAAATCCTCCAATAGGACATTCTTTTTAGATTGCTTTCTGGATTGAGCTCAGAAATTGTACTGCAATTTACCTCTACCTTCAAAACTCATAAGAAATATTGGTTCCTCTAACAAAACTGAAATGAACGCTTCAAATTGCGCAATGATGTAGATTAGTATGTAGGTGAAATCGAATGATTAAAGGCAGCGTCCAGGCCAATTTGAGCATCTCACGTGGATAGTAATTTTAAGGTCCTAACTAAGGCACTGCCCAAGCGGCAGCGCAGGTGACTCACTAACAGCTGAAACATATGCCTCCAAACTGGACTCCAGGATCGTATTTCGCATGGATTCAGGGCACAAGCCATCAGATACGCGCGAGGACCCACGCGCTGCGCCATGAATACATGTGAGATCCCGGGGTCCAGTCTCGAGGGGAATATCCCAGCCGTTAGAGCACCACCCGAGCTGCTCTTTGGGTTGTGGCCCAGTTAGGGTCCCAAAACCACTATCCACGTGAGATCCCCATACGTCCAGATTTGCCTGGACGCTGCCTCCTCTTAGACAAGAACCTATGATACTCTGACATCAACGGTATTTACCATAAAGTCAATGTAAATTGGAGCTTTACTGATATGCGTTTTGAGGAAATAATATTGATGTTTTTTCAATGGTCAGTCATGCAGCAATGGCGGACTGAGGAAGGACGGCGCGTGTCCCCCCTCCCCTCCCCCCCCCCTAGAAGGGTCGCGAAATTTTTGGAAGTTACTTATATGGGTCATAAAAATGTGCAAGTGACTTGTTTATACTTGTAAATAATTAAAATAATTTTTAAAATCTTTTAAGAATTCAAATTAGCCTTGTAAAAATTTTTTTTGGCTGACGCCACGCCCCCTTTTTCCAGATTTTAAGGGTTGGGGACCCGCAAAAATTTTGAGAAGCACCCCAAAAATTTTTTCGGAGTGCGTGGCTAACGCCACGCACCTTCATAGGAAAAAAATTCTGGTCGCCCCCCCCCCCCAGTCCGAAATCCTGGGACAGCACTGTCATGTCATGCAGTGATCATGGAATCGAACATATGGTAGCGCTTCATGCCAAAGTGAAAGGCTTCATATTCCGCTTATAAGATCTGGACCCATAAAATATTTTTTGTGGTTCTCGGATAAACGAAAGGTAAAAATTTCAGCACTTTACATTATGAAACTTAGGAATAGTGATGGATGTGAAGCAGAGATGTTTGTCAAAGCCGCGCACAAGAGAACGAATGCGCATCTATCGAGGAAATAGAGAGGGAAAAAGTTACAAGGGACGACCAGTATACTGGCTTGGCGCAATTGTAAGAAAACGAGCACTCGCGTCGTTCAATATCTTGCGACGGCAGCGAGAATGAGCCTCCAATAATTGACTTACGAAATTGCAGATATATTCAGCCTCGAGGTGGGAAGAGTCAGCACTTGAAAGTCTACTCTCCAAGTTTTTCTAGGGGCGAGAACACTGAAAGTGTAGTCAAGGCTTAGACGAAATCGCTAATAGATACAATTCCAGGCAGACCCAAATGTAAACGATAAGAAGAGCTGCTTAGAAACCCGATTATAACAGAATATATGCAAAAAGAGTAGAGAAAAAGTTAGTTTGTGCAGGCAATGGTTTTTCGTGGGACATCGTCTTATGATGTCACCTTTGTGAAGCCTCATTTCCATATTTCGGATTAGATCTTGGATCAACTGAAGTTTATCCAGTCCGCACATAAAAGCGGTAGTTCTAAAGCGCCCAAATGTCCTATTGCTCATTTTAAGATTTGCAACTTTTTTGTCTCGTCGTTTCGAGTCAAGGAAAGATGTTTCTTGCTTTGTAGTAGCATCTTTGTGGGTCCTACGAAAACGGTTGAGAATCCACAAGGAAAAAAGGAGATTATAAATCGTCTGTTTTGTGATCATATGAAGGTCTGCAAACGAGCAGCAGTAGAAGTTCCATTAACCATTCATCGAACATATACAGACCTTTTCTCGGAAATTCAAGTGCTCATTGGGGAGTTCGAACAGTACAAACTCTACTCAGTAAGAAAGAGTAAGTCATACAACATAACCTTTGCTTCAACTGGCTTGGCTGCCGGAAGGCGGGGGCTCTGTGACCTAGTTAAGGCTGCTCGTGTCCGCGACGCAGTCTCTGTCTCTCCCGCACGCGTGCTCTCTGATCATTACTTGGCCTCAATCAGGTCACGAAGCCCCGCCTTCCAGCAGCCAAGCCAGTTGAATTAACACGTTTCGGACCGGTGCTGCACATGGTGCAGCACGCTGCTTTGAGGGATCTTTCTGGCGTTTGCAGAAGGTTTCCTTTTAGTCTGAAGTAGTTAAGTTAAAGGTCTAACCTCCTACTTTTCAAATGACTCTGTATAGTTGTGCCGCCGATATTTGTTTAGGAGATATGAGCACAAATCGAACAACAGTTGCAACGAAGTGCGGCGACGCGAACGACGCGTGCGACGTCGCAACTTTCCTTTGCTTTGATATCAAGGAGAAAAACCGTAGTTTTGATACTGATGTGTACCGTGTCCAACATAGATACTTTTGAATACTATTAGAATCTGAGTTCTTGTTCCTATCTTTCAAGAAAGCACAAAGTCCCTCTCAAGCGACAAAATTCAAACACTTCGATTTCACTCAGAACTTTGGATATGGAGCTTATCTGACATGCTGATTACAAATGTGGCCCATAGGCTGCGAAAAAGGTCCCTTTGTAGGCTAACGGCTGAAAGTACACTCTTTTTCGCCGCGCGCGATTTCGCGGTCCGAAACGTGTTAAAGGGTATATCACTGACGGATGTGGATTTATTGCAACGTTTCAGATTTTTGGCGATCCAAGCTGAAAGTGATGGGAGTTGAGCAATCTTCTTCTTTGCTTGTACCTCTGCCACGGTTCTCTTATGAAGCACCAAGATGCTATTGCAGTGTCAGAAATGGTCAATGTAATAAATATCAGAGCGAAGCAAATCCATTGAGGCTTTAAAATATTTCCAAAGTAGAATAAAGCAAAATGGCACGCCCTAGTGATGATATACCACTCCAAAAGGAATATATATATGTTGTAGTCACACACACCCATATTTTAAGGGCAATTTAACGAAATCTATGCACGGCCACAACATATCAGCTGGGCTAACAAATTCTGACGACCTTTTCCCTAAATTTTCATCTTGTACAGGTCCCGATTAATTCTGTTTTCGACATAGTGAAAGAATATCTGTATTAGAATAGCACAAGTGGCGTGATGATGTAGGTATTTGGGAAAAAACATGCATGCTTTTTTTGCTCAAATCCCACAAAGTCTTTGACGCGGCTAATCCCGACTTACAAGATCAATCAACCAAACATTGAATCTGCTGTGTAGTGTATCACCGATAGTAAGCTAGATAGACGACTCTCTTCGATAAGCACTGTTTTGCACGGTAAGTTCCTTTCACTTTTCTAACAGTAAAGATGCTAGCGTCTTGCAGTATGAGATTCAACGCAAATTCTTCACGGTGGCGATATGTCGCACGAAAATGTGATTAGCTGCAGCATACACGTACATAGAAGATGTTGGGGTGCCTTCATACCGCGCCGGCAGCCGCCGCTAACCGCCCATAGCCGTAGCGCACTATCCCAGTACTCCAAGGCCTTTCCAAAACGTAGAAAGATCAAGTTATTCGTAATCAGCATGTTGAACAACTCCATCAAACCAAGTTTGAGTAACATTCATGGTTTCAATTTTGGGATGCGGATGCTGGGATAATGCACAAAAGCGGCAAGCGGCGCGGTATGAAGGCATCCTTAGTGCTTACGAAAATAGTTTGAAGCTGAGACAGGAAGTAACTCAGTAATGTCGTAATTCACACACTCTTGTAGATAAGTACACTTTATTCGAAGAGAGAACGAGAAAGATGCACGCTTGCACTGCCAAAAACTTGCAGATAAGTCCTCCTGAAGATAAGTCCGCTTAGGATAAGTTTTTTTTTGCAAGAAGCTACTTAACTGCTGCTCAACTCTGTATGCAGTCTAATCCGCAGATAGACTTATCTGTACAGTGCCTTATTCACAAGATGTTGAGCGATAAATATACTCTATGTTACCCTAGGTACCGCCGCACCTTTGGTGCGTTTCTTCCAAAGTATTCTAACTTAATGCTTCCGTAACAAGGCGGAGCTTCAAAGGTAGCAAATGGAATGCGATTAATGATGGTTGCAGAAAGTTTCCCGGAACACAGACCAAGTGTAGAAGGACGAGCTGACCATACAGATCAAATTACTTATTTTGAGTTCAGTTTTAAAAAGCTACATGTAGGCAATTACAAAGTGGATAATCCGCAGTTGGATGTGCCGTCTCGTGCGCAGTTTCGGCAACCACATATTTTTGGGTTTCGTCTAAACGTTTTCTGCTTGTATATGATAGCTTCCAGATAACTAAAGCTGAACTGAGTACTAAAGTAATATCTGTTTGAGTATTTTATTGTGACGTTTGTGGGCTCAAAAACCGCAATGGCCCTACTCTGATAAGGTAGACTCAAGTACAATTCAAAATGTTGACACATGGTTGTTTCCGCTCGATGAAAATTTGGAAATGAATGCTAATTTACTGTACTGACGCATGTTTGATAATCAGATTATCTTTGAAAGCTTAGAGAAGAAATGAGCGTTATGCACTTTCAGAGGTTGTCATGTGACTCTAAATTAATGATATTCTGAGCGTAACGAAACGAGGCAATAGGCACAGATAAATGTCAGTGTTGAAGTTAAGTAACGAGGGAGATAAGCGGATCTGAATCTGGCCGTTCTGTCGAAAACCTCAAATTCTCATTCCGAATACTTGAACTATTTGCCTGCTATCACATTTATGGGCTTTGGAAAAGCATATCTTTGAACCAAATATCCAATTTTGTGGCAGTGCTTGTATAAAGTATTCGATAGTCTATTAATGGCCACAGACAAGTGTGCGTCAACGATGTAGAACAGTATTTACTTCACATAGCATCAGAGAAAAGCTTCTATGCTGCAACCTTGCGACTACGCGCCCTCGCCGCCTTGACCTGCGCTCTGGTTGGACATTTGCAGTAAGAAGCATCCTCTCCTGGACCTCCCTGAAGAAATGATAATTTTTGACACCTCCATATCAAGACAGGTAGAATTTCTGTCGTTTCTTTAACTGGTTAAACGTAATATTTACCTCATTGGACGGTGGACCCATTGGACCAGGAAATCCTGGATTTCCCGGTTTTCCCTCTGGTCCAGGAGGTCCTGTTGGTCCCATCGAACCACCGCTTCCATCGCGGCCTGAGTAGCCAGGGGGACCCATCATTCCAGGCTGACCTGCTGGACCCTTCTCTCCAGATGGACCCTTTTCTCCTCTTATGCCATCCATTCCTGGTGGACCTGGTTCACCCAAGTTTCCAGCAGATCCTTCTCGTCCGTTCTCTCCAGGCATTCCCACCATTCCCGGCATACCAGGACGACCCGACATACCTTGTGGTCCTGCCTCACCCTATAAGAGTGTATGTTATACGCAAAATAAGCATCGAAAGAAGTAGCAATGCAACTGACAGGGTTTCCTGACGCTCCAGGGGGTCCCATATATCCGGGCTGTCCTGCTGGTCCGGGAGTGCACTTCCTACACTCTTGTGTTAGCGGTCTTGCGGGAATCATGACGGATGAGGGTGGACCTGGCTCTCCCGGTGTTCCCGGAGTCCCTACAGCATTAGATTATGCATGACGCGCAAAGGGTACACTCACGTTACCTGGATCCCCATCGAAACCGCTAGCTCCAGGCATACCCTTGGCTCCAGATGGACAGTCATTAGCAGAATCGCAAGCTAAATTCACAAAAAGTTGAGCAGGTATTATGGATGTGCAAACGATAACTCACAGCATACTCCCACGGTCTGACGCCGTTTACGCGGGTTATCTACTTTCAGCTCTTTGAACTCTAAGTTCACTGCGATTTCTATAGCTTGGAACTGATCGTTATGTACCTAGAGACAGAGTGTCACATCAGTTCAAGACAATGCTTATCGTACCCACCTTGATAGAGTCGAGAACAGAGTCGATTTGTGTGAGCATGTAAGGAATATAGGCCAAAGAAGTAATGATGACAATACTAGACAGGCCGATAGCGATGTAACTGGACGACCTTGCTGTGTCCATGGCTATAATGGAGGTACTGTAGAACAATAGTAGTTTGGAAAGTTTACTATGTACGCAAGAACAAAAATGTAGAGTAACATAGAGCATGAAAATGCGTTTATGAATGGCATTTAACTTATTTCCACCGTATTTTTTCTCTCACTAGAAATAAACCGGGGAAAAACAGAAATAGACTTCTGGACAGTTACGTTGTCTTTTCTCAAACACTGGCAACAAAGGTAGTAGAAATCTGGCATGTAAGAAGCATATATAGTGCGCGCTAGACAGATATGCTTGATTAGCCTAAAAATGACTGGTTCTCGCGACTACTAGTTCTTGCATTGGATATAGTATACGACATTAGACAAACTAGTCATTCAACTGCTTCTAAAGTAGTCATGAACGATGCGCCACATACAAGTTTCTGATGGGTCCATTGCGAAAACATGTGCATCAACAAGCTATTGTACCACTGATAGAAAAAATACCTCGTTTTGTTCTATAAGGCAAGAGGCCATCATTTCATAAAGCAAACCTTTTTGTGGATATGTGTAACCTAATCTTCGAAGTAGGTTTTATGAACCTAAAATTTTTCGAATTATTAGGTCCAAGATTCAATATACCAAAACTGTTCTAATATGATCAAGGGGAAAATTCTGAGAAACACTTTGAAATGATCTCACAATGGCGACTCCCAGAAATGCTCTAAATGATCATAGGCTTCAAAAGAAAACAAAAATTGGCTTGGATTCCGCTTGCATCAGCTGTGGATGGCCCCAAAGATTCGTAATTGTATGTTTGGCAAAATTTTTTTGCGACGCTTGTAATTGCCATTATGACTGGCATGTAGTCAAAACGTCATGACTGTGCTCTTTGAGCAGCACCTTCAAAGAATTTCGGTGTTGTAGTTTCTATCAGAACTCCGTTGTTGAGTGTGTATTGTGTACATTTAATGCATTGAGTGTGCATTGTATACAGTTAGTAAAGATGTAAAAAAGGTGGAAGTACAATATGTTGGATGGGGGTGGAGCGAGCAGTCAATTTACCATTCGCCTAGCAAATGAGAAGAAATAAGGATTGGCTGACTACCCGCTTCCGCCGCACCTCTTCGACATTTCAAAGATTTTGTTGGTTTTTGTTTTGCTTACATATGTTGGCTTCCTGAGATCTGGTTGCTTATGCTATGCAATAGAGTGCCATTTGTTACAGTGGTTTTGGGCTTTGGCCACATCTGCGTAGGCTGAAGGACGCTGTCGGGTCCCTATTTTTGAATGTGCTATACTTCCGCTATTGGTATGCTGTTTTGAATTAGGATCTGCATTTCCTGGCTAAAGTGAGCTTGAGTATGATCCTCAAAAGAAGTGTTTGCAAATACAAATAATTGAGGCTAAGCTCTTGGTTGACGCTGGCACTTAAAAATGATGAGAATGCCCATGAATGGATGCGTACAGGGTCAGAAATTAGAAGTTTTGTCTTCTGAGCCTTATCTTTCGAGTAAAAATCTTGCTTTTGTTGGACGACAAAAATGTGCTTAGTGTAAAGTTATTCATTTAACGCCCAAATCTCAAAATTCTCTCCAAATTGCTATTCTCAATGACGTCAGACACTACACTGGCTGCTCAGTGAGTTTCAGCATCGTCATACAAGAACGATTTCGAGGAAGTGCGCAAACATGACATGTCAGCAACCCTATCTAGGAGATCATCACACCTGATAGTTCTGCCAGGAAGCTGCCTAGCCAAGGATGAAACACACTGTGTGGCGAATGCTAAGAGATCGGCTCTGGTGTTGGCACGTATACTATGTAATTTGCAAAGTGCCTATGCATCTTTTTATGATTGGCTTGAATATACAGAAGAAATGAAGGATTAGTACGTGCTAACTCATTGTAGTTGACTGCTTAATCCAGCACTTTTGATACATAGTATATGAAGGTATGAAGGTTATGAAGTACTAAGGTGAATCAGAAGTAATGAAAACTTCACATCTCTTCTTGCAGCTATCCTTAAATCAGATAGTGTATCGATGAACAAATTCCTCAAGCATCACCGTCGCAGTTTTTCCTCCTCTCTCCAAAACTGAAATGTCAATCATATGTTTCCATGGTTGCTGAAACATTCGCAGAAGTTTTGCACAAAGCGTCGACCGATCAAATTCTGCAAATAGCTGAGTCCATCCACATATTTAGATTGAGAAATTTTGAAGCGGTAAACGCTCAATTACTTTGCAAAATCATGGTTTGATAATAAACGACTGTTCGAAGCTTCCGAGCAAGATTGAGAATTTTGTCGGGCTCGGTGCATTTTTGTCTACCGCATATTTTCGAAAAGTGAGGGCCTTGGAAAAAGTATTTTGGAAAGGCTCCAAAAAGCTAGTTCTCGAGGACTTGAAAGTGCTTTGCACTAAACAAGGTCTACTTTGTTTTTACGTGATCAGACTCTTCTGGAAATTTTGGAATAAAAATTTTGAGAATCAACAAGGTTAACGAAAGCAAAAACGATGGGCTCGAAATTTTGGGAATTTTGAGAGAGATTGAAATGGAGTGCGAAAAGTTCTTATGATTTTTGGCTCATCTTAGTATATCAAGGATGACCGCCGTCTATATCCAACTTCAAAATTCCGAAACTCATCTGCAGATATCGGTTTACGCCCATCTAAAGATTCCAAAGAAAGCGAAGTATAAGTGTATTTCAAAAGAAAAAAGCTAGTAGCAATGCACCCACACTAAAGCAAAAAGAAAGAAAGCAGTTGTATGTGGTCCATGTACAATATGACGTGTGCCACCGGATTCTCGAGAAGCACAAAACATACTGGGACTGGTTGTCTTTAAGCTGAAATCTCAATGAGATCCAGGCTCACATATTATATAATAGACATTTTTCTAGAGAGTACATATTGCATGGTAATTTATATAAACATGAAGCTGTGAAAATGGTTTTAGCAGCTATTTTGCCTTTTGAATTCGGCGAGCTTAAGTCAATCTGTATCAGCACTCCATATAGCAGAAAATAATTTATTCGGCACAATTATAAGCAAAATTGTTCACATAGTACAATAACAAGCAAGAATATGACATGGCGGAACCGTACAGCCTCGAACAATGGTAAAACAAGAGTAAAGCTCATCTGCCTATTTGAACAAGTGTTCATCCTCAACATATTGCGCATATAAATGCAATGAGGGCAAATTTAGTAACAACAAAAAAGAAGGAGAGAAGGATGGTGCCAACAATGAGCCTCAGGCCGTGAGATCATGCGCGCTTACAATGTATATGAAACATATTTTGAGCATTTTTTTCAGAGTAGAAGGGTGCGTGGCTCTATGAGATATGCAGAAAGAAATTCTCGTTATTTACAACAGGACTGCTGAATATGGAGTGTTTCACAAGGTACCCGTTAAGAACAGCCGGGATAAGACGGCAACAACACATTAGGTGACCCGCGATCACAGATGGTCCTGTTTGCCTCGTTGTATCGACTTGAACCGTGATGCTGATCGACCAGAGTCATCTGTAACAGCGGAATGGGTATACTTCAAGATTTACGAATTTATACTCGACTCACAGCTGCTTTGGGACAGCGCGCTGGCGGACACGCCCATCCGCGGAACCGTTTTCCGCTTCGGCGCCTCACAATCTGAAGTTTCTCCATCCGCTTCGGATGATCCACCTTCCTCATCCATCATTAAAGACGACCGCTGACTATCGTCGTCACGATTGCCTTTCTGGGGGCGAATGCCTAAAGCAAGAGAATTACATTCTCGGACCAAACTCTCATTTTGAACTTACCTGTAGTCCTATTTCTACTAGTAGGCCTAACTTTCATCTCATCTGCAAAACCTACTCCGTCTGAAACGGAGTCATAAGGGTCTTCCACGTTCAACGAGCGCGGTAGTGGTCTCCTCGGAGAGCACTATAAGCGGTTTATTTAATTAGCGGAAGGTCCCCGGACCAGTTAATGAGCGATACCTCATAAGCTGCATCCGCAGGTGGTGGAGGGTTAGCAGGAGGAGGAGGAATGAAGTCCATTAATGTGTGCTTGGGAGGACTTCGACGCCCGGCCATTGTTCCTTGCTTCGATCGACCATTGGAACTTTCGCCAGTGCCGTCCGAGGATTGAAACTAAATTTAGGCAATTACGAAACGGGACAAAACACCTTTTATAGAAATACATAGTAAAAGTGTCCAAAGCATGCAACAGACTAAAGTTTTGATGCAAAATCCTTCTAGTTTTTTTATAAGAATGAGCAACTCCCATACCAAATTTTCTGACTGAAAGAAGCATACTTCGTTAAATACAAATGCCATCTCGGCAACGGTTCTTTTGCTTTTGAACTACATTACTCAAAGTATCGCATTGCTGCTAAATGCGCTTAAAGTGCTATAGCAAAAAATATGTCGCGTGCCTGTTAAATAACTAAATTCAACAAATTCCAGCAAATCATCACTCGGTATTTTCTTACATAATATGACATATTCAACTGATATAATGTTTATAAAATTTCACCAGTGCTGCCCGAAACACCCATCATAACAGTCAAGATTCAAAAACATTTGCAGCTGCTATAAGCGCACAACTGGATATTGAAGTTAACGCTATGATAATACCCTATGAGCATGATTTAGTTGCCATTTGTCCGCAGATTAATTTTGAGATACAATGTTCAGTTCGGATTCAAATAGTCAAAACTGATTATGCATTTGCCGTTAGAGATTCGATATCGATAATCCAAAAGCAAGCCTCTTCAGCTCTAACAAAATGATGTACACAAGCTCAAAAACATCATTCAAAACATTCGTGTACGTTTGTACCGCATTCAAGAACAAAGAAAATCATTTGCTGCCGTGCGTTTAAGTTGACTAAAACTTTAACAGAAAAAGGCGAATTATTAACATAGCCTGAGAGGTTCATGTTAGCATTTACCACCTCGACAAATTCTCAGCTCTTTTGAAATCTGTTCATGATTTTCATCACAAAACACAGCTCGGGTGGTAAACACACAGATAAGCACACACCTGGACATAACTAACATCGGTATGGGGTGGACTGTCGGAGTGATGACTGGCTTGTCGATGTTCTGAAGCTCGACTGCCTCGTGATCGACGCCCGGAGTGGTCGGCATACCTGCAAAAGAAAAGCTTATTAAACCCCTAAAATGAAAACGGATTAAGATAGCACCTAGATTACCTGGCAGGGGGACCGTTGGGGATGGGATTACTCGGTAGCGCAGGCCCTCTCAACATACGATCATTTAACCAAGCAGGCTGTTGATTAGACATGACCAGTGTTGTAGTGGCATAAGGGGATGGATCGTCTTGGAACTGAAAAGCAGCACCAGTTGAGGTGACCGCAAATAAAAAAGTGTATTTTCTTACCTGATTCCCATAAAAGGTGCTTAGAGAATTGCCAGGACCTCCCGATAGTTGCGCATAGTGATAATGATGTTCAGACCCATTACGATTCATCGTTCCAGCCATATAGTCATCGCAAGGAGCATTATAAAAGTCTTGCTGGTTCGGAGTCACCGAATATGGTTGATGGGTTGCAGGACATCTAAATCTTTGCAGTAAAATTAAAAGTGTATGCTTCTTTTTCTTATGATAAAGACAAGACTTAAGTAAGTGAAAGATTGAAATGTCTCAAATGGCCAGAAGACATTACGCCCAGAAAAACCAGCTCTAAGCTCTAGAGTTATTTTTATAATTTTTCTAGAGCAAGTGCCATCCAGCTAAACAAGTCACAGTGCAATTCTTGAAAAAATGGGAGATGCTTGCTATCCAGCCAAATGAGATAACTGCAAAATCTATGCTCACCGGTTGTTTAGAGTCATTCGCGCTGCTGTATTATACGGGTTATGATCCCAAACACCATTCTGAGTCATATGCACTGATCCATCATTGATTTTGATAAATGTTCGATCCTGAAACTGATGCCACTCAGCGGTGTCCTGAACACTCTGAAAGCCGAACACGACACGGCTAACAGCCACATAACTTCTATAATTCTCACCTTCGCATTTTTGCTATTCTTGTAATACCAGAATACGAATATGGCGACGAGAATCAAGAAGACACACACGAGCAGCATCACCAGCAAGGCGAACCACGATTGTCGTGAAAGTGAATAAAGGAATGACTCTTGCTCACTATGCAAACTCAGATGTTTGTCAAGCGTTTCTTGGTCTGAAAAAGGAAAGATAGAAGCAGAAAAGCGTAACAGAAGAATCTTGACATACTCATCGTGACAGTATCCGTCCCATGGCTCACACCAATGCCGGCATTCGTTCGAGCAGCAACACGAATTTTGTACGTCATTCCGGGAATTAGATGAAATAACGTGACACTTGCAGCTCGCTCGTTTGTCGTGATGTTACGATTGAATTTTGTTCCCTTTCCGAGGATTACAATCTAAAATATCATGCATATATTCGAAGACGAACGAAACGAGATACAATTGAATCAGAGTCATCAAGTCAGATCTTTTGTTTGTTTTGAAAATGAGTCTTGCAATAGTATGGCTTGTAACAACAAAGATGAGACGCTGCGTATACAACGGTGCTTATAAACGAATAAATATCAGAGGGCGGCACTACAGAGCGCAGAAAGGATGCTCTGTTGTAAAAAAAAATTGGGCGGAATAGCTAATATTTGCTTCAATTTTGCACTTGAATTTTGAGAAAGCAATAGTGACAAGACAGCGACGGTGAACTAGAGAGTCAAAAATTCCCAAACCTTTATAGCACTTCTATAAGCAAGCAAAAATACGTAAAAGTTGCAAGCGATGCAAAAGAGGAGAACGTGCATGGAAGACAAATAAATTCGCAATAAATGTACTTTTCTTCAGCAGCGAAAAATTAAGCAAGAAATCCAAGGTTTCATAAACAAACAAAACGTCCTTTAAACCGAGACAAATGAAAAATACGGAGATTCAGAGCAAGCATCAAGAATGTATAACAGAGGTATACCAGAAAATATTACCTGGAATCCCTTGAGGATTCCATTCATGCCATCAGCTGGAGGTGCTCTCCATCCAATACGCAAAGTGGTCAGATTCAGCATTCGGATATGTACCTCCGATGGAGGCAACGATGGAGCTAAAATGATACATACACTTTAGGCCCATACCCTGAATGAGCAGTAACTTACGAGCTTCAGCAGTTAAGGCATCCATAGAATTACTAGGAGCTCCTTGGATGGATTTGTAATAGGGAATCACAAAAAACTCGTAGTTTGTGAAAGGCATCAGGCCATTAACCACGTATGACTCGACATGCGCACCACTGACATTCACCCACCTGAAATTTACCAACTATGATCAAATCAGCAAAATATTGTATATATGTTCTGGAAGGGAAATGCCTACTGGTTGATGTTGCTTCGTGGCGGTCCACGCCACTTGATGTAGTATCCCTCGACCATGTCCTCAACCTTCTTTCTCTTCCAGAAAAGTCTTACAGCAGTTGAGTTGATGGTTTTGACTTCCTCAAGCTTTATCAATTGTTCCGAAGTTATCCGTCGCGTCGCTTGTTCGAGATCGAGATTCTCGAGATCATCGGCTGACACTAACAAACACCAAATTTAAATTATGTTATGTAGTTGACATGAAAAATATTACAGTGTGCATTCCTAGCAAGTGTAGTAACGACAGGAGAGATTGGACTCGGTGGTCCAATTCCTTTGTCATTCTCAGCTCGAACAATAAACACGTAAGTCTGCGATGGTCTCAAGTTTTTCACACGATAACGCGGCCCCGAGATGTAGTCCGGTACATTCAACCAAGTCTAAAAAACATATTAAGAACTTGAGACTTATGGAGGAGCCAGGTGTCTCGACTAACCTCTCCTACTTCAGGGCTAAAGAACTGGATGATATAACCTGTAACCGGGCTACCACCGTTCCGCTCTGGTGCTCGCCATTCCAGATCAACCTGCAATAACAAATTTTCGAGAAAAATTCTCCAATCAAGTAATTTTGAACACTAGGGCATTTCACGCTATCAATAGGAAATTTCATTGCTCAAATAATATAAACTCCTTGAATCTCTGAAGGCACTTGAGTCTCAATTTTTTCCTTCATCTGATTGAATAAAAATCTTAGTTTCTCTGGCACATTTGGTTCTTTGATTTTGACAATTTTTCCACGACGTCCAGAATAAAAATGTGCGATGGTGACGTGTTCAAGCGATGAATGGAGGTAGAACAGAATAATACGAAAATGAAAGCGATTTTGACTTGAAAAGATGCGAATAATGATAACGTATTTTTACAAGTAAGCAATGAACACTGATATTCTTCATCTCCAACTATTCTTTTACTTACCTCCGAATCAGAAACATTGCTTGCAATCGGTTGTGAAGGAGCCGAAGGGAAGTTGGATCGGTCAGGCATTCGAGAGAACACCGATTTGGTGTTGTGATCTGCAAAAAACGTCTTACTCGTTCCTGCGGTTCAAATAACCCTATGAGTGCCCTCACCCTCCACTATCAAAGAAGCCGTCCAAGTGGACTCTCCATCATCGTTCTTCGCGCGACATGTGTACACACCAGTATCGGATTTCCTGAAACACGTGGATGACCATCGAAAGACGAGTGTCTGGTAAATGACCTTTGTAAGTATCGACTCTTTTTTTTGCATACTAAGCCAGCCGTGCGTGTCCGTTTGAAGCGAAGCGTGCAAGGTCGCTCACTTGTCCCTCTCCCACTCCACTTGTCTCTGCCTATTCGCTCTCTTTGGACTAGTAAATAATCGCAAATGTTGCGCTGGACCGGTGCTGGCTTGAAATTTTGTTGTAACCGGTAGCGTGGGTTATACCTAACAGAACATCCCAGCTTGAGTCGTGCGACTCCTGATTTGCGCTGTCGTCGGTTGTACATGCAGTACGAGATGAGCGGATACCGCCGTTAACGAGCACCGAAAGAAGCAGCACACACAGATCTCATGCATGGACGAGCACAGCTAGTTCGGCCCTCATTAAGCTTGTTAAAACAGCGTGTTCGGAGTGGGTGTAATGGCATAATAGCTGATCCAAACCGCGCTAGCCGGTTTGTGCAGCGACAGTGCTGCATCAGCCACTACAGGGATGAAAGATTGTGCAGACGTAAGTGCACTGCTTCGGTTGCAAAAACTTTTTTTCGCTCATTTTACTTGCGAAGTAATGTTACGAATAAATTCCCCATGGGACATATTGCGCAGGTTATACATATAAGCGACGACAATTTTGATTTCATAATATCAGGCTGTCACTGATCTACTCACTTCAAGTCCGCAATATGCAGACTTCCACTTGAATGTTGACTGTAGCGATTGTCTTTCGTGGTGTCCACGGTGTTTCCATCAAGAAGCCACGAGATCCTAGGTGGTGTTCGACCGCTAGCCTGGCATGGTAGCGTGGCGGAAGATCCAACCATCAGCGTCTGGTTCTGATGGCCATATTCGATTACCGGAGGAGGTTGTGCAACCACTGCTGAAAAATTATGATATACTTGATCATATCTAGTAAAAATCTCTCTAGACTTACACCTATCATTGCATTTAGTTCCGTTTAAACATAGAGATAAAGCAGAGGTCAAACTGAGGAAGGATCCAAACACCATAGGTTCCTCTCATAAGGATGATCTAAGGTAGACTGAAGTGGAACACGAACGCGAGTCGATAAGTCACTACGAACTAGATTCATTCGATAGAAACTCAGGGAGCGTGGCGTCTCCTCTCATAAGAAGAGAGGTCAGTAATTTTAGCGAAGAGGTGGAGAGCTGAACAAGGGCTACTAGACTGGAAAGGCAAACGCACAGCTGATACTAGCAGCACTCACATGCGGCCACCTAATGAGCACCACAATACCAATTGCACGACGCAATGGAGAGAAGAGCGTGAGAAAGTAAATCGACAAAATTTTATAGGCCGCAGAAGTAATTTCATTTGGTCGGTTGCGATTAGAAGGCTAAGCGGAGAAATAGACTAAACACTAGCTGGCAAACACCAACATGTAGAGTTTAAGAGCTGACGGCTGAGCTGAGCAAATGGCTCGTTAGAGTCGCAAATCACGCATATACACCGAGCAATACGATTGCTGATGACTACTCATGCGATGACACCTTGTACGCCTATCTTAATCCTACGAACAAACTCGTTCGGTCAACAGCGACAAACAAGGGGACGCTAGCGACCGCGGCAGAGCGCTGCAAATTATAGTATTTCCATGCTGGAAAGCGAAGCACATTTAGCATTTTGATAGTAATATGGACGACTGGCTTCGTTTGCTCGCACGTCCAAACAACAATTTGCTGCAGGAGCGGGGGGCTCGCACAAAATGCAGCAGGGCAAAGAGCACCGAACGCGTATTACATCGCATTCATCGTGTTCGGATGTCCCTTATCAACAACATTAAACAAATTCTACATCATCGTTCGCATAATCACTACAGCATGTCGCAGTGTAGTGCAAAACGACGCCGAAACTTCGCCAGTAGGCGATCATTACCGAGCAAAGAACAAATTGCACTGCTCGGCCATGGTTTCTATATCGCAACGCGAATAATTGATAATTGAGCGAGGATCGAGGGACAAACTCATGCCGATAGATGTGCCCGAACGCAAAATCAGGGCACTACAACATGAGGCGAGAAACTCTCACAATAGCACGTCACCTCGCAGAATTGCAACAGCACATATGGAATCGATTAACTGGAAGATGAGAATAATACATTTGCATCCGTAGGTGAATCCCACCACTAAGAGCAATCATCGGCTTAACTATGACTGTCCCATATTCGAAAGGTACGCGTGCACGACATAAATCACCTACACAAATCGTATGCACTAAAGACTGAATGTGAATGTGTCATAGTTTGAAGGTACAAATAAGTACCGCATTAGCTACTGTTCAGAACATGTAAAAACTTCAGAAGCTTCTTACTCAAACAATATCATATAAAAAACAAAAATCCACTTCACAGCCTCTGGAGAACAGAAGAAAATTAGCGAGTTCATAAAGTAAAGATCGTCATTATCCTAACAGAAGATAAATTGTATGTGCTACGTTTTCACTCCGTTTCGTTCCTTCCCTTAGACAGAGTTTGACTTGATTTCTAGGTCTTCCCCGGAACTCCTCAGCGAGGAAGGAAGACCCAGCATCAAGTAAAAAGTTGGTATTTAGAGAATTTTTATATCATGGTTAACTAAAATACTTAAGTTGAATTTATGTAAAATTTGTATAAAAATTTAGCATGAGTTACTTTTTGATTGCGTTAATCCTAAGTTAATGAACCACCTATACGATGCACCAATACAAAATAGAGAAGGTGCGGAGCAATCACAGAGGAGCATTTGTGATTACATATACAAGAACAGCATTAATGTGAATAGATACCAAACTCTCGAAAAAATCGTAATGTTGATGAATTATAAACAAGTCTTTCCTCTACGGTAAGGCGATGAGTGAGCCGGGATTCGGCCAGATAGATATAACGCAGGCAGAGGGTGATCCATTATTCACTGCGACCCCAATTGTCAGGGCATTGCGCACAAAAGCCGCTGCTTCGAGCGATCCCATAATTCATAAATACAAAGTGCTAAATACACATTGATTCTTGACGACGTCCTATAGAGTCTTCGATCACTGTGCTATAAATCAAAAGAATACTTTCAAGCAGTGGGTGGTTGGGATGGACGGATCTTCGCGAATATAGCGCATCGGATCGGAAACAAATCCGAATAGCAAATATTGCGCCTACTATAGGGGGTATTATGAATTATCAAAAGCTTGTTCTTGCAGAATTGCAGGCGTACTAAGCATGACGACTGATTCTACAGCAGAACCATGAAATGAACTATATGAATTATTGAATGTCTGACGCCATCCTCTACCAGAAACAAGTGTACAAAAAAACACCTTTAACGGACTGCTCACACGATCCACTACATTTATGGCTGAGTCAACGAATACGCTAGCTAGCCATTTCTTCCCACACAGGGATATCAATCTGGCCGCGTTCGAATGTCGTGAAGGGTGAGGATGCCCGAATATTAATTGACATACGATTTTGTGCAGCTGACGAAACCACAACAATCCAGGAAACGACCGATCGAATGTAAAAGTTCACGAATAGTCAAAAATAGTTGCAAGTAACGCTACGCAAGTGAATATAATCTCTCAGGATCGGAGATTCGAGGTTCGCACGGAAGGATCAAACTGGGATTAGAGGTGGATCACCAGCACCCGTCAAGGCTGAACGGCCGGACGGAAACTACTGCACAACAGACACTTCAGCAGCTTATCGCGCATATGGATGCATAAAAAATCTCTGCAAGATAAGTGCCAACAGAACTGCAGAAATGATGAGAGAAGTAGTAGCTGTACTGTTGCTGCCCTTAATTGTAAATGTTGCACCTTACGAAGAGAGTACACCAGAATTTTCATCGGCTGCAAAAATAATCATGCCAATTGAAAACTTCGAAAAAATGCTCCAGAAAAAAGACATTGTAAATGGTTTCATTACGCAGTAGCGTAATCGACTACGGCATTTCCAGAGTATCTATAGTAGAAAAGACCCCTAGCGTTACAGAGCATAGAACAGTCGGCTAATCGCAGATGTGGTCAAGCTGTTTTCAATTTAAGTAATGTCAAATTCCGTGCTAAATCTCACTGTGAAAAGATGTTTACCGTCATATACCCACTAAATCCTCAGCAAAATCTAATTGGAAGAAAAGATGTCGCTAAAGTTAGCAGAGTAAGCAAAAATCTCAATTCTTTGTTTGAGATGGAGATAAAAATTACGTCGATATATAAGCGGAAGGGGCATGAATAGAAAGCGAATTCCGAAATGTTGCATGAATTAATCACTGAGTGAAAAAGCTAAAAACAAAATTTTGCTGAGTGCTTCCATGACTGAAGTTAGGCTCTAACAAAGATATTCAGAATATCTCGCTTAATTTATTTTAGTCTAATTATTGGGTATATACAAGTTGCATACACCATATGTTTTCAAAATTTACAAAATATTCCATACAACTCGTAGTTTGAAGCAGCACAAGACCCTCCACCAACGGCATTCGTGCAGTAACGATAGTTATGGATACGAAGATTACTAAGGAAGCGTGAAATACGAGGAGCATATCGTAGCGAGATCCAATGCCAATGCTCAAGAGCAGCTCACTGTCATTAAGGGCTGAAACATAATTGATCCAGATGACTCGAGGGAAGCACCGAGAGCGAAGACGAAAAAAAAATGGTAGGCAAGAGTGCGTATTACACAACCTCGTATACGAACGACGGACGTGGTTTGGAAAATGTTTGCTTAGTTGGAAGATGTGAGGAGCATAAAAGGCTATTTAACAGCAACGACAAAATTCTGTTTGAGTGGGGTGGGAGAACAGAATGACAACATGGGGGATATGTGTGTCATGCTGTCGGCTAGCTATCCACATACGGGTCGCACACAAAAGTTGTGCTACATAACACAGCACGCCATTGTAAGGCTGAGGAGGCGAAGCGACGAATCGCAGGGCGGGGAAGCGACATCGCAGTCGGCTGCGATCCTTGTGTCGCTGTTGGCTGCGAGCTCCACCGCAACGTTCAGGAACAATAAACTATGACGGCAAGGACCGATAGCGCATAGGAGGATAAGTAGCGAGCACTGAGGTCATTCAGTCACAGGTCAAGTCAAGTGTGGAATACGTGGGCACGCAAAAAGGCTTTGCCGCTTATTGCCCAGCGAAATATGAGCCGACACCGAGGTGTCGACGCACTTGCCTAATTAGAACGTTGAGGTAATGTGCCAAAACTCGCGAAAAACATACGCAGCATGCAAGGTTACTCTTTCACGCGGGGGGGGGGTCAGCCGGGTGGAACTAGGGGGGAGAGCATGAACATGCGGAAAACAAGGACGATGAGGATTCGGAACAACAGATTGCAGAACGCATTACTCAGTAATCAACTTAAACCCCGAAACAAGACAAATCAGGCCCAGGCAAGATTGACCAATCTGGTCAATGCTTGGCAGTGACAAAAAGGCTCTACCGCCGCCCGTTTCAAAGAAAACGTTTGAGCGATTACGTTACGCGTAACGTCGTAGAAAACATCACCAAGACTGGTTTTTGAGGGACACTGAGGCATAGCGTAAACGTTGCCGACAATTTTGAACATAAAGCACCGCAGCGTGGGTAATCAGCTCTTAACGTCATGGTGAAAAGAAACCATTACTTGCTGAGGTAGAGGGAATAGAGAATTGCTTATTAATATACATAAGCATTTTTCGAATTAATTTGCTCAATTGTTACACATGGGTATGGGACGAAATGGCAACAACTATGTTGTTCACTATACCCATTCACTGATTAACAGATAAAACTTTGTATACAACTTGATTATGACATCCACTTATGCGATAGCGAATGAAGGGGTCAATTCAACGAGAAAATAAATCAAGGCAATGAGTGGAGAATGCATAGCAGCGCAGAGCTCAAGGACAAGCCTAGAATTAGGCCGGAATTCAGCATACTTTTTACGCCCGAGGCCAAGCGGAGACAATCATCAAGTCGGAAAAAACAAAATGACTTAAGACATGGATTTCCAGGAAAGTGAACATCACAAGACCAACTTACGAGAGAGGAACCAGGCAGTGACTGCCACTCCAATCATCGCTGCGATTGATCTTCAAACTTTTTGAATAATTTTTGGCTGCATTGACTGCAGCACGACATTCAAATGATGTATGAGTATTGATGAGAGCAGCAGAGTAAGCTTCAATGTAGAAAAACGCAAAAAAGACTTATTTGGACCAACCTTTTGTTGAGAGCTTCAACAGTGCTTTGCTTAGCGAACTTCCGGCGGAATTCATTGCTGCACAAACGTAGGCACCCTCATCCATGGGACGCACATCCGCAATCGTCAGTGTTCCAGAGGAGGAGACCTTTATGCGACCGTCAGCGGAAACATGACCAGGAAACAGCAGATTCTGCAAATGCACAAAAATCTTCCTCTGAATCTGCCATATCGTTATTAGTATGCTCATGCACATCATCGGACGCTCATCATCATCAGATTGTGTCTCATCATCAGATTCATATAACACCATATCATTAACAGATGTAGAGTACCTCCTAGGGAAGTTGACCCCTCACAAGGTAACGCAGAAATTTTAAAATGCATTCAATGGCAAGAACAAGACAGCAACAAGTTTTAGAGCTTTCAGTTGTGGTATCTGCACGTACCATATTTCAAATCTTGTAATACGACGAGTTCTAGATAAGAATCATTGAAATTCTGAAGAGTCACATCAGATCAATTACTTTGAGCATTTCGCTCGTGTCTAATTTGTCAAACATTCTCAAAAAAGCGTTCGTGTCTCTGCAAAACTGAACATCCTCGAAAATCGAAACCAGATAAAAAAACTTATATCAAGGGACGTTTCCTAAGTTATTATGCTCCTTCATCATAGATTACCCCTCCAATTCAAGATAAGAGGAGAAACAAACACGATTCTTTGTTCAAAAGGCAGACTTTAATCAAATGCATACGTATTACGTCATGTTTCTTTCATCAAAATCAAACAAGATAACAAAATTGAGATATATAACAGAATTTTACACAATTCGTCATTGTTGCAAATCATAAATCGCTCTCCCGTCACATGTATCATATTGCAATCCAAAAAAACAAAAACAAAACAAAAACAGTTGGTGCTTATCACAGTGAAATCAAAAGATTTATCATGTGGTAGCTAACAAATGCTATTGCTGGCAATTCTCATTTGCCGATGACATAATATCGAAGCTGTTAGCCAAAAAAGCACAATGATTCTGGGGAGCAGATTCATCAACGTTTGTGATTATGAGTTCGCTTTTTTGTGATTCTATCTTCTGATTGAGGAAGGTTAAATTTCACAATTCCATAATGACTTAATCAACCAGAGTTTGATTGAATATGGCTATAAGATAGCTTGAACAGACCTGTTGTCCTTCTTTGCTCCAAAAATAAGCCGGAGTCGGTTGTCCTACAGGCACGCAATCAAATGTGGCAGTTGAACCATGGGCAACGGTTTGATCGGTAGGTTTTGTTTGGAATGTTGGTGGAGCCTTAACATACATAATCTTCCGAACGATTACAAGTCATAACTTATACTCACCTGAACCTTCAATCGGGCAGAGGATTCAATCGAGCCAGCTGGATTGCGAGCATAACAAACGTAATCGCCTTCGTCAGAAACTTGCACCCTGGAAACATGTAGTTAGCAAGCGCTGCTATCTTGCTACGCAAAAAAACTCACCTATCAATCCGTAAGCCCCTGTTGTCCTTGGCTATATAGGCCCTAGCCACTGGCATTTGATCATTTTTCTTCTTCCAGCTAATCTGAGGCTGCGGTTCACCCGACACGCGGCAGTCAAAAAGGACAGATGAACCGACATCAACGGTGACATCTTTCGGCTCTTGCTGAAAAACAATCTCTTGGGATTGCAAATTGCAACGATCACGATAGCGATGGCCACAAATGGTCAGGCCCCAACAATAGCCATACATTCCCGAGATCGCATGACAGTTAAGCTTCGACTTACCAAGAATTTCGGCTTTTCGTAAACGCTGAGTCTTGCAGGATTCGATATTCGCTCTCCAACCATATTCGTTGCCACACACTGGTATGTCCCAGAGTCTCCGTGTTCCACCTGCAAATCTCTTGTAACTTAGAAGATTACCCAGTACTAAATCAACAAACCGGCTCAATGATGAGATTTCCATCCGGATGGAGCGTCATTCGAGGGATCTCTGACAACTTCAATTCCCTGTCATCCTTCCTCCAACTAACGACTGGTTCCGGAAAACCACGCGGAGGTGAGCATTCCAAAACCGCTTTATCTCCTGATAGCGCCTGGAAAAGAAAGAGCCGTGCGATGGGAGAAATTACCTAAGCCAAACTCGAACCTGAACCGTTCGAGGTCGTGTCCGAAAATCATCCCTTAGCATGGCGATTTTCAGTGTACCTTCTCGGGATTGAGCCTCGCCATGCTCATTTCGTGCAACGCAATGATACGAGCCCGAATCACCATCTTTTCCGTTTTTCCCTGCATTTATAGTACATCGTATAACATATGTGGCACATGAAAAACTGCGCATGTACTTTGGATTGGAATGCGGAGGCAGACAAGAACCGGAGCTGTGCTTTTGCTCAAACACTCGAAAAACAAATAAGTGGTGAATGTATTAAGAATTTCGTAGAGTTCAGTAGTTCTGCAAAAAGCAGCGGCTTTATTGACTAGTCGAGCCAGTGCTAAGCGCAGCATTCGTAGAGGAGGTTTGAATTATGCCTACTTCAATTACTCCTAATAAATGTTTAAGATAGCCATTAGTCGGAGAGACTTGCAACCGATATGTAGAGATTGTGAAAGATGCACTTGCAAACAGCCCTTTTAGCTGAAGTTCGCCATTACAAATGAGGAGCCTGGCATTTTTCAATATGAAAATTCAAAGACGATATTATGGAAATTGAAATATACAAACGGTAAGGCCCTAAAATCAGCCCGAGAATCTTTCCTTCAAAAAACTTTAGTTGCTATTCAACCACTAGTCATATATTGGCATTCGAAGCTCTAAGTAACATGTTCAGACTGTGTGTGCCATGAAGACGTGGTTTTCAAACTTCTGTTCAAATTGGCTTCAAAAATACAAGATGAATGAATCATTGAAGCTTTGTAATAGTGACGTCATATGTGTAGTTATATTTTGAAGGTAAAACAGCAAAGCGTTGTGAGATCTAGCCAACGCAAATTGAGGTACAAAAAACACAGTCGTACCCAACAGAAATTCTAAGAAGTTCGGGATATAGTAGCGTAGCGGTGTTTTTTTTTCTATTCTAGAATGTTTTGCAACAGACAAAGTTAGCAGCCGCAGCAGCTCGCTTCAGCTCTCGAAAGCCTTATTGAATTATGCAAGCAGATAAGAGTAACTCACCACTGCTAACCTTGAGCAGAAATAAGGCACCCGTATCCAGAATTATTCGATGACTGTTCACTTGATCTTTATTTGTGGTGACTGGCTGGCCATCCTTATACCTGTAAAGCTCAAAACTCACACATAAACAAGCAAGATGAGCATGAACCTTACCATGTGATCTGTGCTCCTGGAGGTTTTGCAGCACAATTCAAGGTGGCCGGGGAGCCTTTCGAAACAATTACGTCTAACGGATGTTCGATTATAACCGGTGCTCCATCTTCTGAATCTGAAACCGAAAAATTGCATCTGATTTGAAAAAGAACGGGTACAGGGAAGGGGATTTGAAAGATACAAGATAGTATAACACCGATTTGTAAGCAGGAACTGGAATGAAGCCTAGGTTGATCTTAAAGGTTTTTTTTGCGGAAAGTTGGATTCCAAACGGTTTCATATTCTGGAATGGACCATGAGGAAACCATGAAAGGAAATGTTTGCTGAAATGCAGAAAGCATTTCTGCATTTCAACACCCTTTTAGCATTCGGGACAGTAGTCTGATGCTCAACCTCGCGAGCTTAACAAGTATAGGAGTTTCTGATTAGCAAGCGTGTTCCATTTTATTTAGATGTGATCTGACTTCTTGGTATCTGATGATCTCTATAGGGGCACTAGCTAGGTGATGAATTCGGAAATCGCGTAAGCAAGGGCGATCATAGCACATACACTTCTGATCCGTAATTGCACGGATGCCAGAGCGAGCTGTCACTGGGCTCAGAAAATGTTTTCTTGTATTTCTTCTCGGTTTTTTCCAATGCTTACGCAGCAGCAGCACCTATTTGAGTACCCTAATTTCACGCGTACAGGACGCGGGGAATTTTTTTCAAATCGAACAGCACAGACACGCCGAAGGACTGCATATTGCCTGAGAGTACGGCATAAGCCTCGTTTTCCGAATCACAACGAGCATGCTGAGCGGCACGCTTGAAAACCCGAAAAAGGTGCGTCTTTTAAGCGTAAAATTAGGGTAAGCGTGAATGATAAACCATTTTTTTTTTCAACTTGAAGTGTCAGCGTTCCCTCTTCGCCCCCCAGGAGTTGTGCAATTGTACACATCAAAGAAAGCCCACTGTACTGTATAATGATTTTCGTCACAATATTGTCAGGACCCAGCATCAAAGCACAGTCCGAGGTGTACACCATAATACCAGTCACACACGCATATGAGGATCATCCAATGCGCCCCAGAGTTGAGCGAATTACCATCATAATAAGCGTGCGCCTCGGACGAGTCACGCGGCTTCGGACGTCCATAACACGGACGAATTCATGCAGAGAACGGCACAGTTCATCCTCATAAGTCGCAGCGATCTCATTCGCTACCCTCATGAAAATAAGCGCCGAGTTGTTCACCGTACGCGGACTGTCAGTAGCCTCATCCGCTCACCACCATGATCCAAGAAACTGGATCTTCCAAAGCTCCATAAGACTATAACGATAGAACAGTGCATATTTTATAGACTAAACGAGGTTATGTTCTTCGGCATGCCGTCACAAAGCAGACGGTAACGGCAACCTTTGAAAGCGTCGCAAAGCGGATTAAGAACGCTCTGATTTGTTCCTCATCTCAAGCACTAGGACTGTGTCAAGGCCAGCAACGAGCGAGGAAAAGCTTCACTAATGAACGGTTTTTCGCATCGTTCATTAGAAGACATCCCGTTAGGCTAAACGCAGACCAGCTTAGACAGTGAATGTGATCAAACCCTCTTTTTCGAGACAGATGTCGCTGTTACAACAACATTTATCTCTCATCATCCTCCTTATGCATAGAAGGATGAGCATTCTCCCAGATACGCTAAAATGAATTATCTCCGAGAAAAGGAACCCTTGCCCAAATTGCTGATCTGTTATACACACAGAAATAATGGAAAAAGCTAGACAGTCCCAAGTAAGAAGGGTCCGAACTATTCGTGAGAAAAAGAAAGCAGTACAATAAAAAATTAAAAATATAAAACATTATGTTGTAAATGTAAGCATGACTGATTTTGAGATAACTTCTCGCTTTGGAACAGTATAGGTCTTTCTGCTATAAGTAATGGTAAATGTATTGGTTCCATGTACATATTTCCGAAAAGTAAACCAACTATATGATACTTACTTCCATTCTAGTAAATCAATACCAACATGGCAAATCAGCTTTGTATTTACACTCAACCTCATCAGATGGCATAAACGGGGTTTGCCAGAAATGTGGGATAATTCTGAGCAACACAAAGAATCCGTTTGTTTCCAGCTCATGCAACCTATAGCTCATACACCTGCTTCGAATTTTTGAGCCCAGCAGCCATCTGTAAATTTTTGAAGCTCTGATATAGTGAAATACGCCTACAGATACGCGAAACATCCCAAAAAAATTACCAGAGTTATAGTTGAACAAACTATAAATTGGCGGTCTGGAACTGTTTGTAATTCGGTCTTTTACTTATGCATGGTCAATATGGAATGCAGCTGCGCTGGTGTCAATGCTCATTTGTCTTTTCGCCAGCAATTCGCATAGCATCAAGCGCCCGCAATGTTCGTAGAATGCTTGATTCGAGTTCCACGTTGAATTGCTGCTTCATGGCTTTCATTGATGGTTTATAGCTGCAGCTGGAAGGATGTCTTCAAACTGCTCCTGGAGTACAAATGGTGTCGAAGAAGATTCATGGTGCACAGTCCTTTGTGAAACAATACTTCTTATGTTAGGTGTATGTACGCAGCACAAGGCTTCGTATAATCGACATTAGACAAGAAAATCTTCGCGCCAAAGTCGGTCTCAAGACTATAGCGCAAGTTTCTATGATCGCAAAATAGAGCATAGCTGTAGGCGTATATGTAAAACTTTCTCGCAACAATTGGCCTTCCATGCTCATAAATAGGCCGGATAATTGTCCAGTGATCCAAGCAGGCCGCAATCAAACACTTTCCCATTCCCGGCCCCTTTCGGAAAGCAGTAGCAAAGAAAAACCCGTCGACAAGTTTACGAGCAATCATAGTCATTTTCTCGCTAGCGCAGATAAGGCTGCGAGACAATTTACGGAGGCCTTTGATGTGTTGCCGCCAGTAGTCGCTCCACTTCAGGTTCCCACGACTAGTGATGGACCCCCACGGCCATGATATGAGCAGAATGTGAGGTCAATTAGCAGTGCAAACATCGCTGCTGGGCTACATCAAACCGGCCGGATTCGTAACTGGAGCCAGCTGGTGTCAGCAATGATGATACCCACTGCAACAGTGGTTATTATAGCGATGAAAGGACTGCATCGGGATATAGAACGGCTAATCCAGCGACGATATGCTCAACTTATTTGAGCTATTTACACGCTACAACGAATATGAGCATTGCACTATCGTTCTATAGATATCCTTGTAGTAGAAAAAATCAAAGGAGAGCAGGTACCGACTCAAACCAGTAATACGCATCGATTCGATGGAACGATGGGCTTTGGAACATAATGAAAACGAGTCATGTCGGTTAAGAACTTGTGATCTGATATTCCCAAGTAATATCACTATGATAGTTTCAGTAGATCAATTGCGAAAGAGCATTCTTTCAAAAATTGACTTTCAGAATAGCCAAATTCTGCTCGATCAATTGATTACGACTGTCCAGAAAAGAATCCTGCTAACCTCCGGTAAATCTTAGCCATCCCGATTGTCATCGAATACCCCATCTATAATAGTGCTGTCCTCCTGCACTGAGGCAATTCTTAGCTCCACTACTCCTCATTTTCGGACAAACCCAATAATTACCAGCCATTCCAACCTGACAGATGTTGCGACATTGTTAATGAGGCGCAGAGCATCCGACTCTATACCATTCCATTAATTGCTATGACGACCGCTCAAAGCTAAGAAAATCGAACAAAAAACTCATTGAAAAAAGAACAGTGATTCTTTGTGTTGAAACTGCACTGCACCGCTCATTGGATAACGAAGGAAAACATATGTAAGTTTGTCTGGAACACTCAACCTGTTCATTTTTTTGAACGTTACACTTCTTAGTACAACAGCACTTTTTCAGTGCGCACATTTTGGAGGACGTGTTAAGGGTCCAAAAGTAGGTGAAATTTTTTCTTATAATGAACAAATTTGTTATGCTTTGCCCAGGGAAGTACTGAATATGTGTGGAAATGTAGCAACACAGATGATGAGTACCTTAATCGCATGACAAATCAGAAGGTTATCAAGATAACCCGCGTGCAATCCGCGTAATCGATCTGGGTTATTCGCCAAAGGTACATTCTGAGATGGCTTGGAAGATGAGTAAGGCAGAAGATGGAAACATTTAGAACGAGTGACAGGAATAACGAGGAAAAGATGAAGTTTGACAAAAAAATATTATACTCCTCACCATCAGCATCGATACAGCCTATTGAAGTGAATAAGAGAAGAAATAGGATCGAATACGGATCAGGCATTTTGTGTGCGTCCTGTGATCACATCCGACGCATCTTCCCGAGAAGACGTAGACTTCCACGTAATTTACGAGTCCCTATAATCTGTAAATGATAGAAATACTGGAAAACTGCATAATGTTCATGAGCGTTCCTAGGACACGGCCGCAAATATTTAATGTAGGATTACGCAGAAGAAAATCAAAACATCGGAGATAGACCATATTGAAGGACATAATGGAACATAGCAGTACTTGGCAGAGAGGGAGAGAGAAGTGCAAATGCAGACAAGCCATGCGGCAGTCGTCGATCTGACAGTGCGATTACCAGGTGACGATGAGGTGACGACAGACCCGGCGCTGAGTGACGGCGATGGTGGCACCGAACAACGGGGGGAGGCAGCCGCGAGAGGAGCGCGGGGGGCACGCGAAATCAGATTGTGCGTGCAGCGCTGCATGAGGATAATAGCGCGGCGACAGCGGCCCATTCAAACTGGAATTTCACTCACTCGGATTCATTTCCTCGTTCGCTGACCACCTCATACAGTTGCGGCTCGGCTACTTAGCGAAATTGGCGCTGCCACTAGCGCATAACTCGCCGCGAGACTTGATTTCTAAACTCAGCCGAACTTGGTCGACACAGCAGGAGAGATGACCTTTTAGGACAAGTGAATAAATTACTGCTAAGAACTTCAACAAAAGGATAAAATTAATAAAGCTCCAAGAATCAAATCAAAGTCCAACTTCGTTCCGAGTACCTCCAATTCTACAAAAATGACTTCGTCGGACACGTGGAATACACTGATATGTGTATTATATATGGAGTAGAACACATAATACATAATAATATATAATAATATATCATAATACTTAATAATATATAGTAATATATAATAATATATTAACATGATGATATATAATACAAATAATAGATACACAATATAGATTGGCGGATAATTTTGTTAGTTTTCTGATATAATCAAATTCCAGAAGCTTCCTAAAAACTTCACACCTCATACGTAGGACATTACACGGTCTATCCACCAGCATGACTGATGCCGCAAAGGCACAAATCGCCAGCTAGTTCACGACAATTTTGTAAAAACCCAAAGTTTCAATTTATTCCTGTTTTTATCTGTGCTTTTCCTTGTGACTATTCCCTCCTCTATTTTTTGTGCTGTAATTTAGCACTGTCTCTATTATATCAGCACCGCGATAACTAACTTACTTACTTTGACGTGAGCGCACATATTTTTTCAATGTAAGGCAAGATATTGGATAACCCAACAAACCTTCAAAGCTGGCCTCGGCAAACAGATCAGTGCAGATGCCAATCATTCACAAATGAATCAGTCACAAAAAACGTCAAGGTGTTTGTGTGTGAATCACCGTATATGCTTTTATCAAGCCGAGAGAAGGTATGAGTATAATACATCGAGATGGGCAACTAATGTATTTTGCACACAGGCCAAAAAAGAAATAAGAATGTTTCAAGGTGATAGTTGGGTGAATTTCGCTGAACGATTGCGTTTTCTTAGACATTTTTCTTTGTACCAAACCTGCTTGATTCCTGACCCAAATATTTGTTCTAGGTGCAAGAAACTACTCCATAGCATTTTTGTCCGAGGTAATGCGGTTTATACACCAATACATTTTTCGTGGTACGTTCTTCTAATCATGAGGTTGAAATTGCGATATTATGTAACAAATTCAGTCTACATCCTCACATAGTGTAGTCAAAACGCCAGTTACAAAATACAGAAAATAGGCTCGACTTCGTATGTAAAATTTTTCGCTTATGGCTAACAGTCCATCTAAGAGAAATCGGCATCTAAGTACCCAGACCCCTTGACCAGCTCTGAACATTTCGTGACACATGTAAAATACGAAAACTAGGCTGACAATAGTCACTGCTTTAATGGCCCAACTAACTTGCTTATTTTGGTGACTAATAGCGTGTCTTGGTTGAGTTTGAGATCAACTGCGTTCACTTAGATCAGCATTGGTCGTACAAATTCGAAGGGTGTTTGCAAACAAAAGTGATTCACTGTCAGGAAATGTTCACTTCCGTCTGAAAGGCGAAATTTCGACTTCCAACTCGAATGATCAATTTTTCAATTTCCCTTCCCTTCAGAAAGTTCGTGAATACATCTTACGCTAGAAAAAAAAAATAAAGTTGGATACACGCTGGTCTGCGGTTTATATTCGAGTAATCGCATGGGAATACTGCAGCCTCTTTCCCAAGAGTGTGATGATGTTCACAGAATAATGGTAGCTGTGAACACGAAAATCCCATTGGTGCAAGCCAGCTCCAGATATGAGATGAATGGAGGATGAAAATGAATTTGAGCGGCAACAAAAATCTAATTATCAAGCTAACCATTGTGAACGATAAGCATGACGAGTGTACATAGCGAAGAGCTACGAGAGCTGGGTCACAAAGAAGAGTGATTTCTTAAGCAAGATGGGAAACTTGTCCCAAACAACATTTTGGCCCATTTAGCTAGTCTACACAGGAATTTGACTGAATAACGGTTCCATCACAGACCAGAACAGTGATTCAACAGCATAAGACGAGTTTCCTATGCAGAAAGCATAACATTCAAACACAACACAATGTTCAATCGAAAGAATGCGTGAAGATATGCTAGCGCAAAAGGGCCACTTTTTCACATATTTGGATTCGTTATTGCAAACTATAGATTTTCAAAACTCAACTTGTTCTACTCGACTATTCGGCTTTGCAAACCTAAGAGATGCGAAGCTGGCTGTGTGAGGAAGGAAATCCGTCAAAAAGATTGAAACGCATGTGCAAGCATCGATCCAATTATAAGCTGAAGGGAAGAGTCAGAAAAAGAGCAGGACTGCAAAAAAGGGAGAAACCGCAGCAAATCACACCCTAAGTGTATCTTCGGAAAAGCTGACAGGAAAAACCAATAGCTAGATAGTAAGAAAATTGCACATAATCAGCGCTCCCTTCATATTGAAAACATGATGAGGAAAACGCACAATGAATGGAATCTAATGTCGGGCTGATATCATAGCTCGAGGCTAGCGAAGGCAAAGAAATTGAAAAAATATAGTTGTATAGAATTTTGTCAGGCTAAGGTTTTCGCTGAATGAAGACGAAGAAGGTGGAAAACTAAGAAAGATTGAATACATTATTCATCAGTAAAGAAACATTTACAATAAATTGAAATGAATGACGCTGATATTATAGACAAACACGAGTAAACAAGGGCATGAGCTGGACGCCCTCTCATGTCAAGCAAGTGCAACGAGTGGATATCTGATATATAGGAGCACCTGTTCAGAACCATTAAGGGCCCACGAGGGGCCAATGAACATGTCACGCGTCCAGGTAAGTCATAACGACAATCATCCACTAGAAAAGGCTAATTAACGCCCTTCGTCGAACGGTCGAAGACATTGTCTGTGCTACCAGATGGCGCGTCAAGTCGAAGATAAAGCACATCTACAAGACTCTTGTATGAATGACGTGCTAGTAGTAATAAATCGACCGCATTAGCATCTCATTAGGATGTTCAAGTGCAGCGAAATACTAACAAATCGTCGCCATGCAATTAGAACGAAAATGGCGAGGGTAAGCACTACGCACGCTTAGCTATGCGAAGAAGTCGCGTAAGATGCCACATATAGACCCAAGTGGATTGCCTGCACATCCTGTGCTAGTTACAAAGACCAGACCAGGTATAAGAGAAATTCCACAGCATTATACACATTCACTGCAAAACGTTTTGGGTACTGATTATAGGAAGTGCAAGTTTTCACAATACCTTTGTTTCGAGCAAGAAGAAACTGCCGTGAACGGGCCGTTGACGCTAGGAATTTAATGCGCGCACGAGTTGAAGAAGGGTGAACGTTTATGGCGCGTGCGAGCCCGGTTTTATACCGCAAGCCCTTAGGTGAAGAAAAAAATTATCGGATTCCAAACGATCTTGGCCGCACATATTGCTATGCTCGAATGTCAAGACAGAATTACGTAAGCAGAAGCATAGAATCTTCCTGCTCTATGGATGACACGAATGATCCGAAAACCCGAGGTTATTTCTATAGATCATGAGTTTCATTCCATGATCAAAGAAACGACAGCGAAAGAAAAAAACACATTAGCAAATTTAAACAAGTTGAAGAGATCACAGAATAAGCACGATCCATAACGCGTGACCACCTGGCCCATCCTTGCAAAATAGCAACAGAAAAAATGAGTCAATCAAATATCAGAAGAATGCAAACGTATAACTGTGCTAAGTGACAACACATAACAGTGAAGAAAAAATCGGGCGCTAACGACCTGCCACCTACAATGTAGGTCGTGAAAATGACGCGAATCGCAGCTGCATACGACGAGTCGGAGGTTAGAAGCGAAATCAATGGAAGTAAAAGAGATAGAAGATAGTGTGTGACTGTATGTAATTTCGTTTTATCGACTGACCTCAAAAGTGGTCATAAAGGTAGGCAATTGAGATGCAACGAATATGATGCGCAAATATTTGACATTTCAAAAAAGGAGTAGAAGAAAATGGGAAGGATCTGAAGGGTATCGAGGGCACTCAAGCTGATGAAATATTCCAAAAATAGGTCAGTAAACGCAGAAGGCTGCAAAATTAGAGAACGACCACGAGCTGCCACCGGAAAACAGAGTGGCGGATGTTATGATATGGACTGCAGCAAGTGAGTGTCGAAATATGGAACAGGACAAAAAGTCTGGAGATGGGGATGATTTGCAATAATGGAGAGGCACCTTCGAGCGAATGCTAGGCATAAGCAGCACACTGAAATAAGCACGACCAAGAACGCAAAGGTTAGCAGTTTGAAATTGAGGTGAAGTACGCAGGTGGACGACGGACTTCACCTCAGGAGAGGCGATCAATCGTCTTGAGTAAGTAGTCTAATCAGGACTCGACTAATCCCACACACGTAGAGGTCAAGAGAACCGCGATATGCGCTAGCATATATATCGATCAATAGCTAACGAACAGCAGGGATAGCGGCCACTCCGGT